CATCACGTAGCCGCAGTGTAGTCACCAAGGCCATATCGCCCACAGCTGTGTGGATAAGTGTCTAGAGAAGTTTGGTCAACATCCGGTGTGGAAGTCTAGAGTCAGGATGGTTTTTAAATTTGAAGAGGAAACATTAATACTGCTCATTATCTCGTATTACAGTTTAGTTTAGGAGCTCTCAAACCATTTTTGATTAACTTTATCTCGAACCCCAAAAAAAATAATAATAATTTCCCTAAATACTTTCACTTCTTATGCTGCAGAAGTCACACAAAAAAAGTGTCTGAATGTTTAGCTAGATATTTTTTTATGGAAAAACTTCCATCTCATATGCCAAAAGTGAACATGAGTCAAGCAAATTCATGATTTCCAACACAGACTCTGAACAAATACACAAGTTAATTCTCATGACAAAATGCGATAATGCCGGTGCAAATTGTTTGCTCTAGAGGACACACCTAAGTTTATCTCAACTTTTACTCGACGTCATGCAAGTTTTTGGTCCTCGGGAGTACGCCCACCAATGAATGAATGTTTTACTTGCAAAGTGGCAAATCAGTAGACAGAAAAACTGGCACCAAAAAAAGAAAAGGAGAAAATTTAATCAACATGACTTTGTCGCTTTGGTGTGTGTTTGCTGGTTCGATACTCTCTGACCATTTGGCGAAAACAGAGTACAAGCCGGTGTCCTGCACATAAAATAGCAAAAATAAACCATGAACGTGGGAAGTGAATTCCTGCGAGGCGTATCCAAAGGCGTCAGCTGCGCCAGAATTCTGTTTAATTGGGTTCAGCGTAAACAAATTCTGGTTCACATGGGGAGTCAGTCAGATATAGTTTTTTACACGTTTCTGATAAGGTTTTTTTTTTTAATTTAAAAGAACAAAATTTCTCAGAGCTAACCTTTTTTATACCAGGTATATATATTTTTATTTATACGTCATAGATGACCTATAAAGATTCCTAATTTCCCTAATGGTTTTCTTCAGCATAAGTTTTATAAGGATATAACGCATATAAGCATACCTTGACTAATTCCTTTCGTATTTTAAAATTTTTCAAGTTTCCAAAAGTCGCGAAACTAATTGTTGTAATGAAACTTTAAGCATTTATTGTTTATCTCTTAAAAAATGTATTTTCGCTTGGCTTTTTTAGTTTTTACAGCTATATTATTATTATTATTATTATAAAATATTTAAATAAACCTGTAACTAAAATTTGTATAAGAAAATAGAAACATATCCGAATTTAAAAATATATTTAAGTGAAAATAATTTTGAACATAATTCTATTTAGCCACGTTCGAAAGCCAACGCATAAACCATTTTAGCCAACGTTGTCCAATTTAATTTCATTAGTTACAAACATTTAAGCCGCAAAAAACTAACCACATGGCATAAACAACAACAAAAAAGAAAAACAACTAAGAAAAACGGCTACCAACAGGACGTATGATTAACGCCCAAAAGCCACAAAGTAGGCAGCACAAAACCCACAAAATGTCAGGACAGTAACAACAGCGGCAAAGTCTCATCAAATATGTTGATAAAACACAAAAGATTACATCCAACCAGAGCCTGGGAAAAGGGTCGCAGGAGCTGGAGCTAGAGATGGAGGCCAGTCAGCCAGACCACGACCGGGGCCAGGACCAAGGCATCTAATGTGTTTGTCAAAACGTTTTAATGCCCCTGTCGGGAGCTGGGGTCCCATAAAGCCAGCTAGATAGCCCCGGCTGAGTAACCTTTTTGGGCTCTATAGAGAAATCCGAAGGATCTAAGGGAGAATGGACCGAAGGCTGACCAACCATAGATGACCTTTTTCGCACAACGAAATAAAAATTGTTAAATAAAAGGCGAATAAAATTTGTGTGTCACACAAATAAGAGTGAAAAAGAGCCTCATCAAAGTCTCGACATAGACACAAAAACAACCTGTTGTGTGTGTGCGTGTGTGTAAATTGGTTTGTGTGCGAGTTTTTGGGGGCGTTAAATGTATTAGTTGGGCTATGCCCTAAAGGCTATTTAAACGTCGTCAATGTGTTTTTCACGCATCGCTTCAGAAGCGGTCTGGCGATGAATTACACTAGGCAACAAAAGAGTAGAATCTAAATGCCATGGAATGTGAGTAAATATATCTATTATATTTACATATAATATATATTTTGATTTGTGGATAGGATTTTCTTACAAACGAAATATTTCTGTACCAAAGCTATCAATATTTACCTCAACTTAAAATTCAGTGCCAATTTAATTCGAAAGGTGGAAAATTAAATACATGGGATTAAGGATGTACATATACGAATAGAGAGAAAAACATCGATAGTATATTGATACAAAAAAATGACTTTGAATTCAACAATATAATTAAAAAAATATCCAAAAATGTATATTTTATTTTTTTACTCTCACATTTGTAGATTTTTGTAGTCTCATATTTGTGCGTTACGAATCTTACACTTATACTGTAGTTGGTTCAAGCTCTATTTCGGCACAGTTCCGATTGAGTATATAGAATATCAATTTATCACAAACATAAAAACACATTAAAATACAGTTTAAATAACAGAATTCTCTTGAAGTATATGCACATTTTCAATACATTAATATTTTGAACAAACATTTTGTGAAAACTTTTTGTGTGATGGAATATTTCTTTTGATGTGAAATTTTGAAACAATACATGTTATTATTTAGTGAAAATTACAAACTTTAAGCTGTATTCTGTGCTTGATAAGTCCAACAAATATATATTTGCAAGAATATCCAAATTTCAGCTTTCTTCATAGTAAAAACCAATTGCTTGCTACATAGTGCTTCCCTCAGATGAATCGCTCGATGAGGCATTTATCCGGCCACTCGATGCTCAACAACGTGTTAATGGGATTGCTTATTATGTGTCAATCAAGAATTTTGTCCTACACCCTCTGGGAATATTCGCGATGTCACGTAAAAATTATTGCTTGACACATTGTTTTTTAAAGCCTATTTAAGTGCGAACTGGCTGCAATAGGCTCAGGCACAAAAGGCACATTCGTACATAAATAGCATCATTATCTGGGAAATATCGCACAACTCATTCGTCATTCGTCAAAAGCCAACAACGAGAAGGCGCCGTCGGAGAACGATGATAAATCACTTTCAATTTTGACAAACGTCCCAAATGTCGCGCAGTCTAGGGGCACATTTCATCGCTCACAACACCCACTCTCAGGCACACACACAAACACACAGAGCCAGAGACTGATACCAAATTTCCATATTGAGTGCTTGGCTCTGGACTGGACTCTGCCCGGCAATTGGCCAGCAGCTTCCGCCAGCAAATCACTCTGGGTCGACATTTCCGAGATATCATTGACCAAAACGAGCGACAGGAAAAAAGAAGAAAGCGAAAGTCAATTCGATTAAGGTCTGGCCAGGCATCAGGAAAGATGGATAGATGAGAGCTGAATAAATGGTAAATCATAAAACGATGGCATGGGTATTTACGCCATAAAGTGAATAACTATTGGGAAATAGAAAATGTATGACATCTTGAATATCATCTATAAAATTTAAGAACAAATTTAAATATTAAAACCCATTCTCTCGGCTTCGAATATTTATTTAAAATGATTAATTGAAGACCTAAAATAATTGCCTTCGAAGGCTATTTGATTTTACTCCTTATGGCGGCATCATTTCGTGGAACGTGTCTCTGCCTTAACTACAATTCAATTTCCGGCTCCGCTGGCTGACATCACGTATACGCAGGCTATCACGTATACAGCGAGTTGCATCGCCACCCAGCCAGAGAGAGAGATCCTAACAAAATATTTCGCCAGCACTTAACGCCCCAAGGATGAAGCCGATGCTGTTGCAAAGGCTTAACTTTCAACTTCCGCCTGCAGCGGCAGGAAGAATGCCAAACAAAAGTTGAAATTTCAACCCCTTTTGGGGGTAAGTGTAGTCTGCCTGCTGTGCATAATATACTGTTCTCATTTCTGGCCATTGTTCAGACCCTACTTGTCATAAGAACTCCACTCGAAGGGTGCCTCACTTTGCCTTCGGTGCACCGCTCTGAAGGTAAGCAATCCATCAGCATCCGGCTAGTTCATCCAGGGTCGCTCTTCCCCTCTTCCCTGTATTCAAATTCTCCCAGTCTTATTTTTTCCCCTTGCCCCTGTGTGTGCTTTCTTATAAATAATTCAATTGCCATTTTACTCGCCTTATTCTCCTTGTTGTAAAATGAACATACATAACATATGACTTGCGAAATGAATTCCAATGAGCGAACCTCACACGATATGCAATGCACGCGGACTCCATCGTCTAGTCCACGTCTATGTTGCGGGGACATACAAATTGCATTCCTATTGATTACCAGTTCTCCCCCTGACAATTTAATTTTTAATAATAATGGGAAATCCCTCGCCGTCGGCCATTAGGCAAACCATTAGCCCATGACATCATTTTCTGAAATATATACATAAGTTTTTATAAAAACTGTTGCAACTAATGGTAGTGGCAGTGCCGCAGCTGTTCTGTTTTCTGCTCTCTAACCTTTCGATAGCTTTAACTATTTGCAAAAATATGGCAAAAAAAAATGCATTAAAAGAGTTCGAATATGCGACCCCATTCAGGTGCAGTCATGAATAATTTTCTTTCAGGGAATGCTCTGCAGGAGACAAAATATAATATTGCACAATATCAACACCAAAAGTAGTGATGCTAGTGATGATATATCTTCAAGGTTAATATATTCAAATGTTGGATAAATCAACTTAAAAATTGTTGTCCAATATAATTATAATATTATATTAATAATAAGTGCGATTCCAATATATCATATAAGACAATTAATCTCTATCTATACCATAGTAGGTATGGGACCCAAAGGGTGTGTTTATCAAAAACGATATTAGATATTGAAATTATTCATATTTTTCTTCAGAATAACCATTTTTTCTTAGTGTATATCTTACGATTTCTAATTTATTATTGATTTTCTTTTTATTTTCAGTTTGTCATCAACCCAAAGGGTAAAAGGAAATAGGAGCAAAAATGTTTTACTTGAAGCCCCGACCAAGTCAAGGCTACGCCTTAGTCCTCGTCTGCATGGCGTTCCTTCTGATGTACCATCCCACCCAGGCCGAGACGCCTCCAGCTCAAGGTGACCAGCAAGTCCCTTCCCCTGTGGACAGCATCCGCGTGAGAAGCAACTAATAAGCACTTCTTTGCAGGCACTCCCCTGAGCAATCTGTATGACAATCTGCTGCAACGCGAGTACGCCGGACCCGTCGTCTTCCCCAATCACCAGGTGGAGCGGAAGGCCCAGCGCTCTCCCTCGCTGCGTCTCCGCTTCGGACGCAGTGATCCGGAAATGCTGAGCAATATAGTGGAGAAACGCTGGTTCGGCGATGTCAACCAGAAGCCAATACGGTCTCCATCCCTACGCCTGCGGTTCGGCAGGCGGGATCCCAGCTTGCCGCAAATGCGACGGACCGCCTACGATGATCTGTTGGAGCGGGAGCTCACCCTTAATAGCCAGCAGCAGCAACTGGGCTCTGAGGGGGATCTGGACCTGGTCGACGACTATGACAGTGCTTTTGATCGTGTGGTGCGAAAGCCACAGCGTCTACGCTGGGGACGCAGTGTTCCTCAGTTCGAGGCAGCCAATGAAGACAACGATCAGGTGGGGATCTATAACTGAATTCCTTAAAGTAGATTCATCTATAATTCAATGATTTTCCCCAGATGGAACGCTCACAATTGTACAATTCCCTGTTGAACTCGGAGAGAATGCGTCGCATGCTTTTGTCCCTGCAGCAGCAGCAGCAGTACGAAGCCCCTGGACATGTGGCCAGATTCGCCAACGAAGATGATAATGAGGCGGATCTGGAGGAAGACACCTCTGAGTTCCAGCGAGAGGCAAGGAAACCGATGCGTTTGCGGTGGGGACGAAGCACTGGTAAAGCTCCGGCCGATCAGAAGAAAACTTCAGAGGAACCTTCATCGGTGACTCCCAAGACCCAGGACTAAATTTCACGGATGATGGCCAGGGCAACTCCAGAGAAATGCCAACCAATGAAAGGGAATCGGAAGCAAGCTACACGGTCAATGTCCCATGCCAAATATGATACGGAAAAACCTTTGAACCCAAGTTATAAACAGTTTTTGAAAGCATTTTGAGGTACGCAGGGAGGCATGGGCTGAGGAATAAATACATATAAACTTATATCTTATATATACACACATACGATTAACCACAACTGTGCAAATTTTGGGTTTGAGGCCAAAGCTGACATACTCACTTGTCTGTAAACTTTAACAATGCGCAGGTAAACAAGGTAAGCCCGTTTTATAGACTTGGAGTCTGTAAATTAAAGAGTAGATGTATCTGTTTTCTATCTGTAAATGAGTTAGAATTGATCACACAGTTTAAAGAATTTTCTATCCCCCCCTGTTTAAAACATATATGTTTTCTGGAATACAACAAATTTGGAAATCATCCAATCCTAACGTGCTCAATTATAGAAATTTCGAAATATTCAATTATCCCAAACTTTTAGCCGGTATGTATATAAAAGAAATATATATTAAACATTTTGAACATAGCGAAAAATCAGTTTAAAACGCTAGAAACCTATAGAAATATTATTCTAAAGAAAGATGAACTTTTGATTTCTAAACTTTTAAGCAAACTTCGATTTAATGTTACGACGGAAGTGTTTGAAAAACATGTTGAAGCCCCCGGAAGCTGTATTACTGTAACACTTGTTATATTATGTGTGCTACAAATTATATATGTATATCAACTCTTATATATATTATACGACTATATATATACATATATATATATACAAATACGATGAACATTGTCTATTACAATTTTATTGATGTATTTTAATAACTGAAGAAGTCAAACCAAAGCAAGCATTATGCTGAATATTGTTAGAGAAACTTTTGTATATTTAATTTACACCATCATTGAAACTTTTGTTTACCGATCCATACTACACACACGATATAAGGCGCTGTTCTTCAAAAGACCCCATATCCCGCTGAGCGCAACTTTCGAGTAAAAATTGTCAATGCTGTTTTCTAGGTGTATATCATTATGTACGCGTATATACCTTTTAATGAATGTAATATCATGAATGTAAATAAAAGAACAGGAATATTAAAAAGCAAACATTTAACTCGATCTATGCAACAATTAAATAACTCAGATGGAGTCAACATACAATTCTTTTATTTTTCTCGAACTTCTTTAAGAATGGAAAATGGTTAAAACTCAAGGAGGTTTGTACTAGTTATCAAGTAGTGTCGTTTTAATATTTTTTAGCATACTTACACTAAAGTTGTTGCTTTTAAACACCTTTAATTATATGCATTAAAGCCATCACAGTTAAGGCATTTATTTTTATTCAAAAACTTTTTTTAATCTCTGTCAGATATAGGTTGGATTGCCAGTTACTGACTTTTGTACATGCTTTTCCCCTCACAGCTCACTTACATACTAAAAGTGCCAACAATTATCAAACTTAAACTTCCACGGCGCCGGCAAGCTGTTGTACGTAATGGGATTAAGCAACAAATGTCAGAAAATTAAACCGAGACCAAACAAGATACAAAAACACCGATGAGTATGGCACCTGGAATGGGCACGGGACTTATCCCGGGCAAGGACAAGCAATCAGCTGGGAGGTGGCAAGGACATTTTTGCCTTCCCAACCTGTTTTGGCCCCGGTTTCGACTGTGATGACAGCCATTAACTTTAGTACCACATCCTGCAACCCGTTTGTTGTTGTTTGTTTTGATAATTAACTTTTTAACTCCTAATGTAGGGAAATGTGTGTTGACTGAAATTGTTGTGCCCTCCCACACATGAAGCACATTATTCTCGATTAATTGCATGCAACATTGAGGATTCAACACGGAAATGCACTTTGGGGTAATCAAATTTTTGGTTGGTTACCTTAATTTCCTATAAAAAGTAATGTGCTTCTCATATTTGACACCATATATGTTTATGCAAAAATTTTTAATCAAACAAAGACAAACTCTTAACAAAGTAGTAAAGCAGGAACGACGCATTTTTAGCACCAAAAATAGTTTATTTAATCGTTTAATTTAATTTTTAATTAAATTAATATAAATAAAATTAATATAATTAAATTAATATAACACTCTTGTTATCCTGTTTTTGAAAATTAGTATTTTATAATTGTTATTACTTTTCACTGATTCCAGGTAATTACATTACTCTTTCAGAGCTCAAACATTAACCGTTTTCTGTTGACTTTATTTTACTGTTGATACTTAAAAAACCTAAGCCACAAGAAAACATTTTCTTTTTTATTAAAAAAAAATAATATAACTATAATTATATAAATATATTGTTTCTTTTGTACAATTCTTATTTGTTGTCAAATATGACACTGTAATAGTTTAAATAGTGAAAGTCTGTGTTCGATTTCTTTCGGCTTTCTTTTCACATATGTACAAGTGTAAAGAACGTAATCAGTATAAGGCCAAACATTACTTAGTACTTGGTAAATATTTATGCAAATAATATGCAATTACACACACGCACAAACTCATACACACGCACTGGCAAGCTGCGCCTAAAAGCGCTCTGTAAACACCGAACTTTTTAAACAAGCACAAATGTGTCATACCCACACGGAGATGCTAAGGAAAACCCACTTCAGGCAGAAACAGAAACCATTTGCGAGTAAAAACGGCAACAAATTGTCTTGCGAATTTCTCCCTCATTTACCCCACTGCACACTGAGAACTTTCTTTTGAATAAATATTGATTATCTATTAAAAATACATTTCGTTTTATTTTGAATTGCGGAAATGGTTGCAGTGCGTCAACTTTGAGACATTCGGTACTAAAAACGCTTTAATATGTGGTTGCCACATTTAAGACCAAAAAATTATACAATTCATATAACTTGTTTGATAATTATATTACTTTTTATCGCTGTAATTACATTCATCTAAGAACAAGACTTTCCAAAGTGTGCCTTCTGGTATGAAGTATGCAAATGAAAGAGCAACAGCCAATGCAAACAATCTTAACAAATGCTTCCGTTTCAGTCTGGGCCGCCAGCGCAACTTTCACAGCTAAAACTAATGTGAAAGTTTTAATTTACTCGAGCCTTAGACAAACCTTAAGTATGTATGTACATATGAGAATATAAATGGTTTTGTAGATTTTCCACTGAACCCTTAAAGATTTCTTCTTAAAAAATTTTTTTTCTTATATCAATAGGAGTGATTTGAAATTTAAGTGCATTAGCTGTGGTGTGGTCCTTATCCCTTTATCTCTCTGCAATTCTTTCCATTTACCATGATACAATTTTGATATAATAATAATGAAATATATAAATATAATTGTATCATACGTTACTGTTTTCAAATATTATTAAAAAAGAATAAAGCAAAAAACAGTTAACAAAATGTTTTAAAATAATTTTAGGTTCAGTATTTTATATTCATTAGAAAAATTACAATGAAAGCAGGATTCGACTTTGATGAGGGGTTTTGTTTCGGGAATACTGATACGGGTCGATGAGTTTAAAATAAACATTTTAGAGATATAAAACAGCAACCACACTGGGAGCTCGACACTGATAAAAGGGATTTAAAACTACCACATTAAGCTCATATAAACGTAGCTATACAAGTAATTTAGTCCAAGACTTGTCGTATTTGAAAGTCCTCCAAGTTCTTCTGTGGAATTAGGCGCAGCTTCATGTCGTTGGCCAAGTGCAGAACCGCATAAAAGGCAACCGACGTGGACAGCGAATCCGACATTTTGGTGGTCAGCAGGTTGGGCAGCTTGTTGTACACTTCATTGAAACTAGCCATACCCTTGGAGTAGTTCTCGTTCTTCGGCACTGGATGCGAGGGTATCGTCTCTTCAGGCACAACGTTTAAAAGTTGTTTCTGAATCAGCGAATTGCAGCTCTTTTTTAGATTCTTCATGTCTATTACCTTGGCACGCTTCGCAAATGGAACAATAACTTTGGTGACCTGAAAGAGAAGATAATTTATTAGTATTACTATTAATTATAATAATAAATGGCGTCTTACCTGCGTCGGCGCCCCCTCAAATTCTGTGCCAATCTCAAACACTGTGTTGTTGCAAGCGTCCCTTATGCTAGCGTTAATCTGACTAGGATCCACATCCACCAATCCTTCGCCGAGACAAGCCTCGTCTCCCATAGCCGGCATAACGCTCACATTGGCGGGGACTGCCGCAGTGAAGTGTTCGTTACCAAATAAGTCGGGATCGTTGTCCACATCGTCATGATGCGGGCCCCCATCACCCATGTCCATGCCCAGATCTTCGCCCTCATCGGAGTCCGGCTTGCCACAATGCCGAGACAACTTTATACTCGGCGCCGAATCATATTTGAAGAAGAAGTCCGGATCAATGTCAAACTTTGTGGGTAGCATCAATTTGCGGGAATCCCACTTCTTCTGGAAGTTTACCTTACGCTGCTTTACAGTCGAATCCAGAGTCTGAAATAAGTTCTCTGTAAAGTTTCCATAGGCCACTGCCTTGGCCCTTCGCTTCGCGGCCAACTGAGCCGACTTTTTCGGTCGCTGAATAGCCAGGCCTGACTGTGAGTCCACCTGGCCATTGGCCTGGAAAAGGGTGCTACGCTGGCGCGTGCGTTTGAACTTCCAGTGCGAGGGTCCTGCCCAAAACTGGGAGATCTGCTCGGCCATAGGGCGATATGAATATTCCAGCTTGGAGGAACCATCGACCGGCCGCAGATCCTCGATAAACTCTGCCTGCTTACGCAAACGGCGGCAATTGTTGATTGCCACTTGCTCCTCCGTCGTGAGCTCATCCAGCTCATTGCAGTCCACCTCAAGAACCAATGGTGGTTGCCCGTCTAAGTCCGGCATGGGTTCACACTCACCATTGATGTCGAATGCCATGGAAAGCTCATTGGGATGGGGGCACAGATCTTCGGCGCCATCAAGGCCAAAGTCACGGTTGTCGTCTTCATCCGATTCGGGATCTTTTGGTTTATCGGTAGGGGCTCGCGGATTAGGATCACTTGTGATGATATAGCCCGTGTGCAGAGGTCGCAGAACCAAGTCATCAACATCGGGCATCAGATCTTGCACCCAATCCGCGCTCATCAGCGATTCATTGGACCACTGCTCTGATTCCTCATTCGCATTTGCTGTGGTGTGGTCCTTCACCTCCTCGGTTGGCTCTTCTTCGCCATCCCAGAACATATAGGTGGTGCGCAACCTTAGTTCCGAGTCCAAACTGGGCAGGATGTTGTGCATCAGGCGATTGGAAGCGTTAATGGACCCTACAGTGGAGTTCAGCTTGCCAAACACCGGATCCTGCAGCGGCGCTGTGTCTAATCGAGCGTTCAGTGTGTCCTTGTTCTTGGTTACAGTGGACACATTCTTCTTTTGCTTCTTCGGCTTAGGAGCTGCCTCTTTTTGGACTCGCCCAGCATCTTCACCATCACCGCCAGCCGGTTGCCCAGACTCCGGACCCTCATTATCCTCGGCATCTTCCATTTGCTTGTCCGTGAGCGTGCGGGCACTCAAACCTGCCGAAATGCGCATAGCATCCATGTAGATGGAGTCCACACGCAGGCCGTAGACTTTTGAAGAGGCCTCCAGCGATGACCCGGCCATCTTACGGAGAAACGAGAGGGTTAATATCGCGTTCGGCTTAGTTTTTGTCCACTAACCTTGAAGTTGCTCATCCGCTTGTGATGATGGTCGAGCAGATTGGCCAACGAGTCGATGAGTGTCAGGCTCCAGGCGTTGTCTTTGCTCAGCTTGTTGCCGTTGTAGATTTCCAGGCAGGACCGGATGGTCTCGTTGTCCTCAATGGACTCCAGTGTGCTCTGGCGCTTCTGCTGATGCTGAATCAGTGTGCGTCGTCGGGCCTCCTGTCGCTCCGCTTCGTCATCATTGACCACGGTCACCTCCCGGGCCATACTCTCGCGGAAGCTGCCCACCGCGGAACGACGCAGCGGCGTCTCCGAGCGCGGCAGTGTCATGGCTTGTGGGCGTCAAAAGCAACTAGCAACGAAGAACGAAGCAATGATCGAAACAGGGACTTGTATGGTCAAAATTCGATTGCTGCGTTTGTTTTAATTCCTTTCCTATTGCGTTATGTGCGTTCCGTTTATTGATTGTGCTGGTATTAGTAATAGTTTACAGTTTCTTTCAAACGACGCCGCAATTTAGGGCTACACAACGATTGTATGTTACAGTGTTGGAAAACTTTAGAGGAATGTTGACTTGGCTAGTAAATAGCTAGAATTTCTTAAGATATCGCATCAAAGACTAGCTAAATTCACGACCTTTATTACTTTTAACTAGAGAAACTTAACTAATTTACAATTAATTATTTAGTGACAGTCCCTATGTAACACCCTTCTTAATTGGGCTCTTAAAAGTACAAAAAATCATCTTTTGGAAATTCTTTATCCTTTATCTAGCTGCATAACAAATATGTACAAATAACTAAGCCGTCGATGATATCGATAGAACTATTGAAGTTTTAGCATCTCTAGCCCAAGATAGCCGCGCAGATCGCGTTTGTGTCCGTGATTGTTATAGTTTTGTTGTTACCGTCAAATCAACTTTGAATAATCTGATCTAATCGTGGAATTTAGCTAAGCTTAAACAGAAATTGCCTGGACAAAAGTATTCTTGTGAAATAGCGAAATCTTTGCCTTGGCAAAGTCTCGCACTTGCAATCCTGCGGCTGTCGGCAGCGTGCGCCTGTGTGTGAGCCTGTGTTAGTGGACGGAATAACTGGATTTTCCGAATTTGCGCAGTTTTATGAGAAACTGTTAAAGACGCGCTTAAATTACGGAATATCAAGCATGGCACGCGACACTCAAGGAACTCAGGGAACCCAGAGCCAGGCATCCAGCATCTGGACCCTGGTGGAAAGTCAGCCCATGGAAAAGATAGTCTGGGGCCGGTTGTACGGCAAAAACATCAAGATCAAATCGCTGGGTACGAGCTCAAAATATCGTATAATTTATACGCCTTCGTCTTTTTCTGTTGGTAACCAAAATTTGCCTGTGTTTATGTGTTCAACTCCATCAGAGTATCAACGATATTAACAATTCGGGTTGCTTTTATTTATATAACTTCTTTCAGATCTGAACAATGACGAGTTCTCCGCAGGACGTGGAGAGGCGAACGATTTGATCCTTACGCTCAACGATTTGTCTGAGAAAATCCTGACGCGCATTTCCAAAGTGCATTTTACTATTAAGCGAGCAAACTGTGACCTTGCCAGTCCAGTTTACATTCAGGTAAATCCTCATCTGTCGCTTTCTATTATGCGAATAGGCATTGTTATAGTATAATACATTTGCTTGCACTTTCCAATTCTTAGGACCTCTCGCGGAACGGGACCTTTGTGAACAATGAAAAATTGGGATGAACAAAATGCGAATTTTGAAAAACGACGACGTTATTTCCCTATCACATCCCACACACAAAGGTAAGCGATCTGCAAAAACAGGTTAGGTAAAAACCGTGAAAGGACAAAAGTAATGCAACGTGTTGCACCTGCCCCACAGCCTTTGTGTTCAAGGATCTCAGCCCGAACGAGTCTATTGGTCTGCCTGAGGAGATAACCAAAACGTATTATATAAATCGGAAGCTGGGCTCCGGGGCCTACGGATTGGTGCGCCTTGTCTATGATACACGCACCTGCCAGCAGTTCGCAATGAAGATTGTGAAGAAGAATATGCTGTCGGGCGGCTCCCGACCCAGCACTAACTTAAGCGATCCCGAAAGAGTGCTAAATGAGGCCAAAATCATGAAGAATCTATCACACCCGTGTGTGGTTCGAATGCACGATATTGTTGACAAGCCGGATGCCGTTTATATGGTGCTAGAATTTATGCGAGGCGGCGATCTACTAAATAGGATCATAAGCAAGAAGCTGCTAAATGAAGAGACTTCAAAGCTTTACTTTTACCAAATGTGCCATGCCGTTAAGTACCTTCATGATCGCGGTAAGCCAAAATGTCTATGATTTTACCATTTCACTTGTAATCTAAACGAGATGAACTCTGTAGGTATCACCCACCGCGACCTCAAGCCGGACAATGTGTTGCTAGAAACAAACGACGAGGATACCCTCCTAAAGGTATCCGATTTTGGACTGAGCAAGTTCGTCCAGAAGGACTCTGTGATGCGTACGCTTTGTGGAACTCCGCTCTATGTGGCCCCAGAGGTTCTTATAACCGGTGGTAGAGAGGCGTACACCAGAAAAGTAGACATCTGGAGTTTGGGAGTGGTGCTATTCACCTGGTAGGAGAAATTCATATTAAATTTATCTTGCAAACTAATCTTTAATGCTGATCCTTACCTTAAGTCTCAGCGGCACGCTTCCCTTCTCTGACGAATACGGCTCTTCAGCGGCCGAACAAATAAAGAAGGGAAGGTTTGCATATCGACATCCGGCATGGAAGGGTGTCTCGCAGCGCGCCAAGCTTCTAATTAACCAAATGCTCATTGTGGATCCCGTAAAGCGACCCTCAATTGATGACGTTCTGCAGTGTAGCTGGCTGCGGGATGCAGCGATGCTGCAGAAAGCCAAGCAGCTTATGAAGCTCGAAAGCATGGATATCGAGGAGGAAAATAACTTCCTTGAGCCGCCCACTAAGCGGTCGCGGCGCTAGTTTTCTATTATCCATTCCATTTACCAACAGTGTTAGGTTAAGGCGCGAAAAAGTTTTAATTTTCTGGAAAAATTATTCAAAAACATTTTTCTTCAAATGCCGCCGCCGCTTATCATTATGTTTGATGTTCCAGTATTTTGCGGTTGTTTATTTTTACGTGTTGTTTAGTATAAGTTTTTCATTGGATTCCCCCTCTTTGGATATTTTATAATTAATTTTGGTCCAATCTTATCTGTCATTCTTATTGATTTATAATTACTATACTTAACTATTGTTTAGAAACTAAACGAAATTGTTATACGGATAAATTTGATTTGACTTTTCAGCGAATACAAACTGAGCTTTTTGAAATAAAGCATTTGCACTTAAGTAATATAATTTGTGTGTATTTATTAATTTTTAGTATAGCTTTTTCATATATGTATATATTTGATTGGGAATTTTATATATCTATGCTATCTGAAGAAAAGTGGTAGGGTATGAATAGGTATTAAATACTTATTTTGGTAAGAGTTTACGAAAAGTTGTTTTAAACCCTCGGTCTAAATGAATTCTTAACGATGTAATTAATAGTTATAATGGGTTTTATATATTCCATACTTATATTTTTTTATAATGTCAAGGAAAAGAAATAGTTGCATTTTAACCAAATTTTATATTTTCTAGAATAGCAATACTTTAATGTAAGATGCTATATTTTTTATATATCAATCATTACATTTCCCATTTAATCTATTTCATACATGTAAACTCTTCTTTTTGGACGTAATCATGTATATTATCGTTGTGCCAATACAGTAATTGTCATTCAAGATATAGGTTTCACTGTACATTTTCACAAAAAAAGATAAACATAAGCCATAATTCGGTCAGTTCAAGCTCGCGGCCTAAGTAAAAACTAAGATGAAACATAACGCACTATGGAAATGCTTCAAATGCAAGCAAATGATTATGCTGATCACAGAATCCCAGAATTGGCAGTAGAATTACTTTAGGGAATGCGTCACCATCTTACGCCCATATCCAACGGTGACGAGCGTCCTGTCATCGGTCCAAACGGCGTCCATGAGTCTAGAATGGGTGTCCTGGTGCTTGTAGATAATATCATGTTCATCCCTCTCCAAATTGGCCACCTTTACTGATGCTGGCAAATTGCTCATCGCTGCCAAATGAGGGCTTAAAACAAAATACGTTATAATGGTAATTTGTACAAAATGTTTTCCTATTTACTTACCCATTTATTAAAAGCTTGGCGACATGCCCGTTGTCAAAATATTCCGCAGATCTAACCAGCTTTCCAGGTTCACGGATATCAAGTGTATGAACTTTTCCATCATAGTCACCCAGATACACATAATTGGAAGCCCCAAAGGCGGCACACGTAAAACTTATCAAATGCGTGGCGTCATCATAGAGGCATGTTGAAGACGGTGCCGCTGCCCGGGCATCCCAGAGACGGGCACAACCACCACGATCGCAGGTTACAAATAGGTCAGAGGAGGCGGAAGGTGTGGCCAGGCCGGTCAGTTTATCGGTGTGGGAGGAGCGCGAGTGATAGGAGCTCTCCAAGTCAGCTCCGGAAAGATCCCAAACCTGCAAAGGCAAGTAGAAATTAAAAATATTATTATTAAATATATTTATATTATATTTTAAGCTTACATTAAGTGTGCCATCCGTTGAAGCTGAGACGGCCTTATAGGGGTTGGCATTAAACACACTAAGCTGGCTAATGGGCGTGGGATGCGCCCAGGACTCGCCAATGAGAAACAGGCAGTAGGGCGACTCTGGATTACGGACTTTCGAGTAGGTGGACCAGGCCTGCAGGCGGGTATCGCCGAGCGCCACCAGCAACACGTTGTTGTCCGCGTAACGCACAATGTTAACCGTGTGCTCCGATTGCAGCTTGAAGTCCGCACTGTCCACAGTCATGCGGTTCGCCTGGCTGCGGCCATAGCCAAAAAACATGCCCCACCATTGGTGGCCGTCGCGTCGGTTGGTGGCCAGCGCCAAGTGCTGGTGGTCGTTGATGGAGATGCTGTCCCAGCAGTCGTGCAGTCGCGGCGACAGATTTTCAAGGCGGGCATTCAGATCAGCAATGTTGAGATTCGGGTACTCTAGGTTTGTGGCCAGCTCTAGAGCCGGTGGCGGATTGTGGCTGGCCGGCGCTTGATAGAGCTCCGAGCTGCGTTGCGGAAACATCTTGGCTACAGCGAATATATCCAGGAAACAACGAAAAGTTAATCTCGAAAAACTAAAGAATCCAGCGTGCGTGCCCGGTAGAGCTGCGAAAAAAATATCGAGTATCAGTCAAGACACGAACCAAAAATAGCCGTTTGTCCCATCCCTACTGGAAAAACTAGCAATAAATAAATATTAGTATAAAAATATGTTTTGCTTAACGCTGCATTTTGTGCTAAATGCTGTATTCATTAATTTTTGACAAAAATTCCTTTATTATCGATGTGATCGTGATCAACTACTGTTGTTTTAATAGAGTCGCTAATTATATTTTTTAAACTGCCGCCTATTTTTTTGAGTAAAAGTGGAAAATAAAAATGAAACCCGCCAAAAGTATGTAATCGAAATCAGCTGTTTTTTATATATCGATAATCGCTATCGCCAAACAGCTGTTCGATGACAACAACTAAACAAAATCAGCTTTATTTGTTGTTGTGCTCGACTCTACTACGTCGGACGTTACGCGCTAGATTTTTGTTTAAATTCTACCTTCCGCTTGCATCTCCGCAGTAGCATAAGCTCTCCAGAATTTGTGTTTGGTTTAAAAAGAACTTAAGCTTTGTCTTACATAATAACTAAAACTGAGTTTAAAACGGCCAACTGACGACAGGCAATTAACAAAGACACGCAAGTGGGCCTACATTCTGCGCTATTATGCAAAGTGCAGGAAAAGCAAACACAGCAGCAAGAACAACAACATCGTAGCACTGGCCTCTGGTTGTGTGTAAAAACAAAAAATGAAATGCAAAAGTGCCTTAGTCTTAGACTCCAGCTCGCATTGAATTAAAAACGGAGGAACCAGTCACCAGAATCAAATCAGTTTCGAAGCGCGCCATTTGTAAACTCTTTGTTCGGTTTTCCACAAGAATAAAACTGGTGGCGACTGGTGCATGATGAGCGGGGTAAGAGGCGGCGGCAGTGGACTGCTGGATATTTACGCCATGGCCTGGGAGCATCTGAGACCCGGAAGCTCGCCCGTCGATTGGTGCGAGGGCAATTACTTAATTTCATCGAATATAGCTGAGTTTGTGAACACGGTGCGTATGTGCAATTTATTTTAATATATAGAAAAAGGTGTCTTTGCTCTAGTTAGTGAGTGTGTCGTCGTCACCTCGTTGTAGTTGTGGCGTAGCAGCTGCGAATTCTCTTCACGCACACACTGGCACACGGAAAGAGTGTGCTGTAGCTGTGGCTGGGCCTTGACCTTTTTTTCCGCAGGCTATAGAGCGAGAGCCACCAACACGACCCAAAGTAAACAAAAGTGGCTGTTAGATACGCTATGGAAGGGAAGATGGAAGATGCCGATGAAGAGGAACTGGGAAGAGAGAAATAGCAAAGATGGGAGTAGAAAGTAGTAAAAGATACCATTACTAGTTTTCAATCGAAACCTAAGCATCTCCAGTCTAAGAACTTCTTGAGAATTAAGGTTGGGTAATAGTTGAATTTATTACTATAGTAGCAGAAAACAGACCTCTTGTGACTAATAGTTTATCAAAAAGAATTGATCCCAGGTATTAATATCTAATCAGGAACATATGGTTTAGTCTCTCAGTTAAGCCACATATTTAATAAATAAGCGTTTAAATAATAACTTTAATTCTTAACCAATTTTTTCCTAAGTACAGATTGTTTAAATAAACAATAAGTATTGCAAACAAATACAATTCAAAGGTTATCAACAACTATAGGCACTATAAGTTCCACTATCAATTCAAAATTTTAACTCAATTATCACTTTACGATCGTATTATGTTTCAAGTGGCACGCATTATCATCAACTCAGTCATACATTATATATAGAACAAATCTTGAACTATTAAATGACATAGAAAGTTAAGGACGATCATGATGCACTGGGGAATGACTTAAAAATTAATACTTTTTAATGGATTTTGTGTTGTTATGAGTAATCATTAACCAAGACCATTGGAGTTGATGTTGATTTTTTTACAACGCATTTTGGCTTTGTTATGAAGTGAATGAACTTCGCTCTTGACACTTCATTGTGGAATAAGGGAGCGGATACGATCAAAGTGGGCCTTGGAGTATACATATATATAAAGATATATATTCAAGCCTAGCCCCATTTCGTTATCTATTGCCCCAATAGAACATGCATATGTATGTAAATAATAATCCAGTACCCCTTACATGTGAGAAATGCTACACTTTTCGCTTTGTTTTGCCACACAAAGTAATTAATTGCTGTTAATTCAATTTGTTTAGCAATTTACGTGACAAAGTGGCAATTGTTGAGGTGGCACGAACAAATTAAATAGAATAAAGCCATTAATTCAAGGGTCTCTGGTTAAGGAAATATTTTTTTAACAAAGTGAAACTCTTTGCTTATATCAATAAATAATGAAAAAAAGTAACTCCAAAGTAATATATATTTTTTCTTTAATTTTACAGTTTAGTAATTTCTTGTTTATCCTACTCCCGCCTGTGCTGATAATGTTGTTCAAGGAGTACGGACGTTTTGTTACACCCGGAATCCATGTGATTTGGGTGCTACTCATCGTGGTCGGCCTGAGCTCCATGTATTTCCACGCCACTCTCAGCCTTATTGGCCAACTGCTCGATGAGCTGGCCATCCTGTGGGTGTTCATGGCTGCTTTTTCTCTGTTCTATCCAAAGCGCTATTATCCAAAGTTTGTAAAAAATGATCGGTAAGTGAGCTTCAGAGGGTTCAACTATTCCTATCTGAAGAAAACACGCATTTTTCCTATCTAAATCCATCGACTTTCGGTTTCCTTTGTTTCCAGCAAAACCTTCAGTTGGCTAATGCTACTGTCGGCGATTGCCGCAACGGGCCTGTCATGGTGGAAGCCCATTGTTAATGCCTTTGTTCTTATGTTTATGAGCGTACCGACCATGGTAATGCTCTACACGGAGCTGCAGAGGTAAGTTAACCGACCTATTGAGGGAGGGGTGTGTTGCCGATAAGCAGAGTGGGCTATAATTTCCCCGCCTGGTGACCCAAACTGAACTAAGCCCATAAATCATATACATTTATATGTGTTTATCATCACTCATCCATATCATAAGTATTATCTTCTGTTTGTGCTTTTGTTTTAGAACAAGTGTACTGGGGAGTAGGTCGCATGTTCGAAGTTTTTACATATATTGTGAAATTAAACCATATCGCTATATTTAATCAATTTTAGTTTTATCATACGGTTTCAAAGATCACCCCAAAAATTTATTTCCCCCCTGATAGTAATATTTATATATATGGGGAAACTCCGGGGGTGGGTTGTATCAATCAATCAAGTCAATGGGTTCACTCGGGTTTGAGTGTGTCATTTAGATAAGCCTCAAGTAACCACACTTTTAATGTGCAATACTCAAGGGCTTATGACAGATGTTGGGGTAGGAAACTACAGTGTGCTACATTGTGTCATTGTGGATATCCCTTTGGGATTTACGAAATGTCCAAAATGATTGTAATGATAAGTCAGTTGTTACAAGTTTGTTTACTCTTAGGGACTCCCAATTTCTAGTTTAGTTTATATACACAGCTTGTTCTGTTTCACAAAATAAAGGGATTTCCAGGACTCTAAAATAAAGGTTTAAAACAGAAAAACAAGGGGACAAACGTTTTCATTTCATTTATTGAATATCTTTTGAGTGAAAGTAAGATTAAATAATCCACTTTTAATTGTTTCAAAGAGCTTTAAAACACCTTTCAATTAAGATATAGTAGCAGTAGTTTTCTTGCCCATCGAACTCTGAGTGCTTATTGTCATCTTCTCTGCTATAACACTATCCTTACAAATGCAGTATATTTTGGCTTTCTTTTTATTGATACAGTTGGCATCATGTTCATATGAATTCAGTCTACTCAGTTCATCAACGTCCATATCGAGCAATTCATTAGTGCGATTGTTCCACCGGACAGTGGCTTCAAATTTGGGTTCCTTTGGAAAAGTAGAGAACACAATAATGTAGATATGCTCGTCTTTATCAGCGGGCCTAAGACCCGTGGCTAAGATGGCTTTGCGGTCCACTTTGTGGACTTCTTTTAGACTGAAACTGTGACAGAGCTCGGTTAGTTGGTGTTCCTTCAGATGATTATTCATATGATTTACAATGGCCAGAGCAATGGACTGTACATACGAGGACACTTTGATTGTCTCCGTGGGTTGACAGCAGCACCATTTCTCCTCGATTCCGGCCATTTGGCAGGTGCGGTTAAAGGGCACCTCAAAGAAGAGCGACTGACAGGTGGGGCATTGCTTTGCCCTTAAGTCGTCGGGAAAATCATCCATGGATTTGCTTTTTAACTGTAGCAAATGCTGCAGGGTCATGTAGATATCGTAGTTGGAGGTCAAGCGATTGCGATTCTTCTCAAGGTTCTCCACCAGAACAGGATACTTTTGGCGGAACCATGGTGGTATATAGATAAACATCATGGGCATGCGCTCCTCGAAATAGCCAGAGGAAGCTTCCCTTAACAAATTATAACGTTGGCCATGATCACTCATCAAGATCACAATTGAGTGCTCAAATAGATGGGCCTCTTCAAAGGACGTGAGATACTTTCGAAAGAGCTCGTCCAAAGCTGTGGCTCCCGAATAGTAGTCGTGGGTGAAGCTGTTGCTCCACAGGAATCCAAACATTGGCGATGTTCCCAGGAACCGATCGATGAACTGTTTACCAAAGTCCCAGACATAACTGAAACTGTGATGGCGACCTATACAGAACGGGAGCCATAATTCTTTGGTCACGTTAAACTGGTTTTCGATGGCCAGGAGCAGGGGACGTAGGTAATAATCCGTTGGCTGCTTTATAAATCCGGCTTGCATGTAGTTGAACGTATTAATTGATTCACAATCCTCGGCAAAGGCTGTCATGTAGCTGGCATTCTTGAATCGCTTCCAGATGAAAGGCAGAGTGTCCAGGCAGCCCGCGAGTGTTACATCACACACTTGCTCAGCTCCTTTTTCCGAGTGTCCTGTGAGAACGGCCATCAAATTGGGATAAGTATTGTCGCCTATTTTGTTGTAACCCTGCATCTCGTACCATCCTGGGCGGTTAACGAAGTTGTAAGCTAATGGCATCGTTCGCCGAAAATTAATCCGTGAGATTGAGTCAAGACCCATAATTAGGACACTTGGCTGAGTTCTAACCTTTTCTGGGCTTGTCCACATTTCCGGAATAAATGTCATGGCATCTTCTTGGAGCAACTCACTTATATTTTTTAAGTCCTTGGCAAAGCATTTGGTTATAATAAAGTCGGTGTCCTTCGGCACTAGCTGGTCTTGCACAAAGCGCTGACCCTGAAATTTACTGAATTTTATATTTATTTATTTTATTATTAGAAGCCGCATTTTAAAATATATATTTAAGGATGCAATGTAATCAAAAAGAAAGAAAGCTTTAGCATTGTAGAGTTATAAGATTGTGAATGGTGTCATAGAGGAATCTATTTCGATCTAGTTTTTCGAAATAAACCATGTAATGATTTTGTACTTAATTACTTACATATAAGTACGATCGGGATACTTGGCAGTATTATTCCGCGATATCTTTTGATATAGACACTCCAGAGTCGCATTTCTCTTTGTTTCCAGTATGGGTCTGGCGACGTCCTCGTTTATGTGTAGGCGATACTGTTGTTTTTCATAATCATAAACGCTAGTCACTATATCTTTGTCTTTGGAGCAAAGTTTTAATTGAGATTTTTCAAATTCTCCCATTATATCACTCGTGAAGGGATCCACATAGGGCATTTTGCATACCGAACTATTCACATAATACTGTTGAACTACATCCTCTCCCTGCACATTTATGTTGACCCAGAGACAAAGGTATACAAGAAAAATAATTCGGAGCTCGTTACTTGTCCGAATCATGATCGCCACAAACTAAAGTATATTCTCTTCTGATTCTCTTATGGGACAATAATTTTATTTACTACGCTTAGCTTTATTAGATATGCCAAGCCAATATAATTCTTTTATAAATATTTATGACTTGTAAACTTAAATTTTGCAACTCCATCACGTGCCCCTATACGCTATTTTACTTTTAAAAGTGCTTGGCTGCTTTTCATCCAAGTTGTCATTTAAATAATATAATGAATAAGAAGCACAATGCCCATACACTTGAATGGCTAAGTGTAACAAAATCGTGAAGCATTAAACATGTTAATTATATTGACAGGTCTGATATTATGATATTATTTTATACATATGTATCTCTGTAGATTATATTATAATTTCTTTTTTCTCTCTAATCCCATTCAGGGTACGCGACCAGAGAGTTTACCGCCTGGGTATCCGATCGACGACTGTTTGGGCCGTGGCTGTGTTTTGCTGGATCAACGACAGGATTTTCTGTGAAGCCTGGTCTGCAATTAACTTCCCGTACCTGCACGGCTTTTGGCACATATTCATATTTATTGCTGCGTATACGGTGCTAGTATTGTTCGCGTACTTTTACGTGGAATCGGAGCTCCCTCAGCGGCAGCCTCTACTCAAGTACTGGCCAAAGAATGACTTCGAGTTCGGAATACCGTTCATATCGATAAGAAATCCAGGTAAGGCGCTGCGCAACACAATCTAAGTGCGCTGCTACTGGAGCGGATAGAGAAAGAGAGAGCACAGCGCATTGACTAAAGACCAAATCGATAATATCGTAAATGCTTTAAAACTAAAACCAAAAATAACCAAAGATTGTAAAACTGCAAACCATTTATTGTAGCGCACAATATTTTATGTAGTTGAAATGTATTCTATTAGCAAATAATTTAGAAAATGAACTCGAGTCGCAAATTGTATCTGAAGGCATAAGTCCGTAGACGTATTACAATAATATCGTAGAGCTTTGTTTAGTGCTTAGATAGACGATTGTTCAATAGAGCTTGCGAAAAATCGTATCTTTCGATCTTTTACAAGAAAATACAATGTATACAAGTTGAAAAAAAAACAAAATTGATTTTTACCCTTTTTGACACGTTAAAAATCCTCATAGTATCAGTGTTTTTTTTTAAGCTCTATTGATCAAGCTAGTTAAAAACACATATCTGTAACAAAAAGAAGGCCATACCAAAGTGTAGGTTCCGGTTCGCCTTTCCCATGAGTTTAGTCCAAAGTCTTCAACATGTTTTTTAAGTGTGTGTATCCGTATACCATCAGACTGTGATATGTTATAAAATAATTTATATCAAGACTTCCACAAAAAAAATGAAAAGAAAACAGTTCCTACACTTTTGTTGACTAACCCCATTGTTACCTGAAAAATTTCAACGTTTTCAGTGTTTAATATTCTCTGTAATCTTCGCCATCCTACTAAAACTTCTTGGTTTGGGCTTAGAGATATGAAAACATCGGTAGTGGCGCCAATAAATACTATCACGATTCTATCACTTTATATAAAATAACAATATTATGAATAATCTTTAAATTTGCAAATCCATATTTTTGTAAAGAAAGAATTTATCCGATTTCTGAATAATAATAATTTAAAATTTAAAAAGTTGAGTTGAATTAAGTTAAACAGAAAGACTATAAAATTATACAAAAAAAATTGATTTCTTTCGGTATTATCGTGATAGTTAAAATAACACCAATAGTATTGCCTTGTACTAACCACAAGTATGAATATACATAATAACCCAAAGCTTCACTAATCAAAGTAGTTAGTTGCTCAAAATATGATACAACTTCAATCCGCTACCTTGCTGATCCCACAGATTCAAAAGATTGGCTCATCTACTGCAGCCTGTATATGCAGGACTACGACTTCAAGCACGGAAAGAACTAGTGACCAGATTCGCTCTCTCTGTAATACAAAAATAGACAATTACACCGTGATATAAATTAGGCTATAAGAAGGGGAAGAACGAGTGTCTAAATTAATTTTACAATCCCTAGATATTTCAAAGCTTACTACTCAATGCAGAAACCAGATTTATTGAAACCCAAATTACATAGCTGCCATAAAGAACGTAATGTTAAGAAATATTTAGAAACATATTAAAAAAGATAGCAAATGTACTGAGTTAATATCATGATATCTTGTTTTGTCATAATAAAGAGTATACATTTTATTAAGCACAAGTCTTTCTTTACTTCTTTTTATTTTATACCAGCAGCAATATACATAAATATATATATACTTTGTAAATCGTATAACTTTTTATTTTCTTACTTGATAACTAATGTCTTTTTCCTATACGTGTGTGTGTGTGTTCGCTGAGCATTCATCCAATAAAATTCGTTCATAGTTCATCCCGCTTTCCGTCTAGCCCCAATTAATCAGAATCCGATGATATATTGGTGCAGGAATCGCGAGCAATACGCTTGTTTATGGGATTGTAGATACCATTGAGCGGATAGGGTCCGCGATAACTAATAATATTCTTTGGTGTCTCGTGGATTTTCACCTCGTACAGCAGTTCCGGCTTCTTCAATTGCAAACGGATGTTGTCCCAAATATAAACGGCCAAATTCTCAGTCGTACTGGGCTAAGAAGGGATTAATGTTATTAATATTATTATTAATTCTTTTTAGTTAGTGGCGCAAATTAAAATTACTGTGTTGGCAAAATATTCGACATCCTTATCGAGATTCTTATGATCCAGGCGCTTCATAATCACCGTCTCAATGGCATCCTTTAGCTCGGTTATGTTTACCACCATTCCTGTTCGCCGATCGATGGGACCGCGAACGGTAATTTCAACTGGGAAGAGTCAATGAATAAGTTTATTAAGCTTGAAGGCATGAAAGTAAAAATCCTTTTAGTTCAGTTATTTGTGTTAAAAGTGATGCAGAAATTTGAAATTTTTGTAGATAATCGGGCTAAGGCACAAAGACTAGTCCCTTAAATGTAAATAAAAGGAATAGTGACAAATACATGCAATGTTTTAACAGAGGACCTCCTCAGTAGGCAACAGAACTCAGGAAAATATAAGGCTAAAGCGAGAAAATCCACAGTATCAACGTATTAAAAACGTGGCTACTTGGCTGAAGTCTTTTAAAAGGTTACTTAAATTATGTATACATAATTTTTGAAAAGGGAAACGAATAAGAATGCGTTTAGAATCCAATTTAGTGGCAGTACTAGTCCTTATATATTGCTATATATTTCCTTAAGCTGTACTTCCTTTTCTGCTCAATATACAATATATAAATGTATAATCCTATGGCAATTTCTACATTCATTCAAATGCTATGCTCGTGTTCAAAGTTATAGTGATCACTTTGATCTCTCTCTCTCCCTCCCTGTTCATTATCAATTCTCGGTTTTTATTACCATTGAGCGTTGAACTTGAACATGGTTTTGATAAGCGAGCTTATCGGCCAAGGTTTTGTTATGGTTAAGCGTTTTTAGGTATCAAATTTCCCTGAGCTGTGTGGCTTGGTTATACCTGACAAAACCTAGTTATTAGCGTTATGGATTCCAATTCGCGGTTAATCAAGCGTTTAAATGAATGGTATACAATCTAATAGTTGAAATGTTCGTTCACCTGTGTAGTTGTGTCCGTGGCCGTGGAAATTGTTGCACTTGCCAAAGACTTCCAAGTTTTCGGCATCGCTCAACTGGGGACTGAGGGGAGAGTCGGGGAATTAATTTCATTAAGAAGTTAAAGCCAATTGAACAAAGTTAATTTTTAAACGGAAATCGAATCAACCAATTGAATCGATTCTCTTTAATTACCTATGCAGGCGGTGACAGGCGCTGAAAGTCTCGCGGCGGGTGAGGAAAGCCACAGGTTGCTGAGACATTCTCTGGCGATTTGATCCGGTTTGTGTGTTTATCTTCGCTAAAAAAGGCACCACCTGTTTAATGTTTATCTTAAAAGTGTGACTTGCACGCCGAACACTGTTTTACAGTGAATGCAAAACCTGCTTTTGGTTGGCGAGTATTTATAAGGCGAGAACGAGGAAATTGGTAGCACAACAAATGCATTAGAGCTGTCAAAACATTGATGACAATATCGATAATATCGGCCATCATTATCGATAGTAGTTAGACTATCGTATATCGTATATATATTTTGTGATCTTTTCACTACCCAGATTTTATCAGCTCTTGCAAAGCAAAAACCGCTTTTGAAATTTTGTTGAGAGAAACAGCCAGACGATGAAACTATGTTGTAGACTCACAATTTGTAAATATATCGAAAGTGGCAAAAGAATGTAAATTATATTTAGCCCATCGCTAACTACTACCAGTGTTGCCAGACATTTGTAAATCACACATGTGCCTGTCATCGAACAACCCTACTCTGTTATCGAACAAGGCACATCACTACTAACGAAAATTTATCAACAAACGACGCCGCGCAATAATTCGAACTATTTAAGAAGTTATTTACAAAAAGGAAACACCGTGGATATTTCAAAAAGATGAACAACAAAAGCACTCCTGTGCGCCAGCGCATCCAGCAGTTCCAGACACGTGGCGGCCAGAAGTCGACGCCGTCATCAGACGCCAGTGCATTGCGGAGGAAGGTGCTGACGCGGACGCCCAGACAAAGCGGCGATGTTCGCCAGGATCAGCAGTTGCTCAACACGGCCTTCAGCAGCACCACACCGCAACCGCAGCCCAGGCAGAAGTCCACTGCTCTCAATGCCTGCTACACTCCCTCATCACTGTACCGGAATTCGCACACGCCCGGGAGAACGAGGACGCCGAGCGGGATGTCCAGCAGCAGCAAGGCAAAGGACAAGGATTCCATGATCGAGTCTTTCCATAGCGTCTCTGAGGAAAGCAATATGATAGTAGCGGTGCGCGTGCGCCCTCTGAACGCCCTGGAGTGCACGCGTGGTCAGGTTACCAACGTGGTTCAGGTGCATGGCGACAGCAATGAACTAACCGTCCAGGCAGGCTGCAGTGCTGACGCCTCGGCGGGTGTAACGCACTTCTTCAGCTACGACCAGGTGTATTACTCGTGCGATCCGGAGAGCAAGAACTTTGCCGATCAGGCAAAGGTATTTGAGGGCACGGCCAGACCGCTCATTGATACCGCCTTCGATGGCTATAATGCATGTCTCTTTGCCTACGGCCAAACGGGATCGGGCAAGTCCTACAGCATGATGGGCATAGAAGCCTTGGATGATGCAGCCCTTGACGGTGGGCCACCACATGACGAAGCCGGGATCATTCCGCGCTTTTGCCACGCTCTGTTCCGACGGATAGAAGAGGTCAAGGCGCATCAGCAGCTGCAAGTGGAGGTCGAAGTCAGCTACTTTGAGATTTACAACGAGAAGATCCATGATCTGCTGAGTGTTCAGCATGCCACCACGGCAGCCGGTGACTCCACGCCCGTGCAGGCGCAACGGCCGGCTCTGAAGGTGAGAGAGCACCCGATATTTGGACCCTACGTTGTGGATTTAAGTGCCCATTCGGTGGACTCATATTCGGCGCTCCGTAACTGGCTGGCTGTGGGCAATTCGCAGCGGGCCACCGCCTCTACGGCCATGAACGACAAGAGCTCCCGCTCGCATTCCATCTTCAACATAGTCCTGAACCTGACCAATTTGAGTAGCGGGGACGAAGGCCTGTCCTCCTCGGACACGGATTCGGGCACTGCCAATTCTCTGCGACAGACGCGGCGCAGCAAGATCAGTCTGGTGGATTTGGCCGGCAGCGAACGCATCAGCGTTTCAGGCTCAAACGGTGAACGGATACGCGAAGGCGTCAGCATAAACAAGAGCCTGCTCACCTTGGGCAAAGTAATTGCAGCATTGGCAGATTCCCGCAAGGCGGCCGGAAATAGTCAAATGGGATCCTCTGGAACACCAAGCACATTCGTTCCCTACCGTGAAAGCGTCCTAACCTGGCTCCTAAGGGTAAGAATAACTATTATTTATTTAATCTTTTTGAGCTTATCAAATGGGTCATTGGGCTGGTTTACTTTCCACTGTCGATAATTGTATCTTACTTCAGTTACCAACAATACTTCGACAGCTAGATTAAAGCCTAGGTGGTCTCTTTCGACTGTAATATATTTCTTTCTTTCATATTACCATGATTTTAGTTTAAACCTCTATTGACCACTAGTTTGCAAGACAGTAAAAATGGATAATATGATCCTATGAAGTATAAATAAATCGATATACATAACTCTATATGAGCATTATGTTGGCAAGACATAATATTCTTGTATTATTGTGCTTTCAAGCAAAAACATTTGTAGACCTCAAATAATTGTATTAGATCAATTTTGTCTTAAGTTTCGGTTTTAATTATTCTAAGATCAATGAGAGTACTTTATTATTTTCTATCTAGTACAATCCTTGAAGGTCGCAAGTATAGAACATGTAGCTTTTGAGAAGAACGGTGTCCCTTTTTACCGATCATTTGATAACTCTCCTATCCTTATCAGTGCTTAGCTCTGTGTTGACGTCGTAAAATGTTTTGATCCCAATATATTGATTATACAGGTCAAAAGATTTTTTAATGTTTTCTATTATTTGTACATATAAAAACTGACCTTGCTGGTTTAAGAAACTAAACATTCTTTATACTTTATAGATGTATCATAATAGAAACATTTAAAAGGGTAAAAAGAATGTTATTAATCAGCGAAAACTGACCATTTTATTTGATTTTTCATTAACATTGAAATTTAGTTTCTTTGTCAGAATACAATATTTATTAAATTTCATCTCTACTATAATTTTTATTGTATTTTTCCTATATGGAATAAATTTCCCTGCGATATTTTTCAAAGCTCTGCCATCCCTAAGGGGCCGTGGCTATCTACACTTTCACTTTGATTAACTGATGGCCCATGGAATGAGGCCTCCGCACAATCAGTAATTACCCGGAAAGCAATCAGAACAGAGAAGTGCACTGCAAATGCACACAAAACGATAACCTCCATGGAAACCCCACAAAGAGTTCGAAAACACCATGTTCCCTGGCTAACATTTACATAATCATGAAGGTTTCCATCACATTGTTTTAGTCAATCTCGTGATGTTCCTCTTTGTCTCATGAGAGTAAAATTTTCTTTACTTTGTAGATGATGTTTGGGGTACTTAGGTTTTCATATTTTATTAAATATATTGTGATAATCACACTAATTAAATACCTCAATGTATACATATATGAGAGGATTATTTTATTTTTCTTATCAGAATTCTTTACATTTGATTTAGTTTTGAGCTTTAATTTATAATCTACCTTGCATTTTTGTTTATTTTGAAAAGTATTTTTTGTATTTTGATAAAAATGTAGACCCAGTTTATTTCTATTCCCCTATCTAATTCATAGAAGAGCTTTTTATCTCGGTCTTATAGAGATATCAAAGACCTCCCTGCGCAACAATCAATTGAGTGATTAAAGCTTCTCCTTGGGCTCTTATCATATCTCTTCAAACGTTTGCTTTGCTTTTTGTACGCTTATACAATTCATGACCTGATATAAGGGCACGTGTCCATAGAAATCATACTCAAACTACGGCATATATAGAAGCTTATTAACTATTTTACTCCTAAAATGAAAGTTAAAGCTTTTAATTAAAATTTTAGATTTAAAGCTAAACTTTTGTAAACTTTCTTTCCAACGTTTTAAAGAACAACAAAATATGACTATTTTGAATGTCTCCAAGACTTTGATTTTAAATATAACAAAAATATTCAACGCAAACATTATTTTTTCTTCATAAATAGATTTTCCAGAGTACATACCACATTGAGTGTATTATATTAAAAACACAAAAATCAGGTGTGTCTATTGACTATAATTAAGTGTTAATTTCATTGTGATACATGAGGCCTCACATGGAACGTACTAATGTGTGTTTTTCCAAATATTCAAAGTCCTCAAAACTAAAAACCAAAACATTTTCCCATATAGGAATCTGGAACTATAAAACAAACGGTCACAAGGTCCTATTTTAAGGATCATCATATTTATCTGCCAAGCCTCAGACAGAAAAGAATTTCAGAGTTAAATGAAAAAATCCAAACTTAACAATTTAAAACTTTTTAAAAAGAGAACATACAATTTTCACATACACTTATTGTTTATTCTGTCGTTTTAAAATTATTTTTTGACTTTCCATTACTAGAAGGTATATAAAACCTTTTCATTCATATTATTAATTCATTTTCTTAGCTTTTTTAAACATTGACAACAAATTTGATAACTTAAATTGAATTCTCATAACTTGAAAACTCGCACAACAGTTCCTCTTTTTTGTAACTTTCCTCTGAATGACTAAGTAGAGTAAATAACTGAACAAAATAATTGTGAGCCATTGAACAATTAAACAACACGTTTAAAAATAACAACGTTGAGTTCATCAAATTGGATTTTGTTTAAACAATGAGGAGATTTCGCACCCATTTCTTTGAATTCCACCCCTCAAAAATTAACACGTGCCAAGGAACAATTTTCAGAGTTGAGATATGTGTGAATTGCCAATGTAATACTTGCCTAGAGCCAAGGTATTATCTGATTGATTTCTGATTATTATTAGTCAATACTTAAGCATTTAATCTTCCTTTAAAGTTAAGTCTTAACTTCTAGTATCAACGTGTTTACATAAGTGAAAAGTGGCGCTTCACTTTTTACGACGTTATTTTAATCATTCCAAAAACTGAATGAGTAATTATAGAAACAGACTATCATTTGATTGAAGGGATTACAAGGTTCAAGCACTTGTCTTTTTTCATTTTTAAGTGTTGTTATTGTCTAAGCACTTTAATTTAAGTTACGGTAGTACCCCAAACTGAATCTCAGCCCTTTATTTCCCACTAAATAGTCTTGGCCATTAAAAGTGACAAATATTTGCAGTTATGGCGTCGTAGTAACATCGTAACCAAGTCAATAAGAAATCACGTTTTGATTGAGAATGCAACATTGTTAGGCAACCATATATAGCCTTAGCTAGCAACCTGTCCTAAGTTCACTTTTATACTAGACTTTTCGTTTCGTTTTCCATACAGTTCCTAATATCTTTTAAGTACTTTTCCTATCTTTGCATAATATAAACCCAAGTCCCACATGTGTACATCTTTTTCTCACACCACCGATTTAAAAATACTTTGCTGATAATGTGCTGCATTGTTTTTTGTTTTCTTTATTTATTCTGGTGTACTTGTACTAAAACAATATAACACTTGATACGTTATCGCGTCTCTGAAGTTGCGACACCACTTTTAGATGTCGTCGTTTTCCACATTTACAGGCAGTTGGCTCGCATTTGCAATTACTCTTGCTTAACTTTTTGCCATCCTTAGTAGCTGTAATAAAATGTCGTAAATAATATGAATAATTTATAGGTATACAAACCCTATTCTAAAGGAACAAAGTATTATTTGTTGCTAAATAAACTTGGGTCTTTTTCTACCCTCACAAGGCCCTGATAGCTATCTTGTCGAAAAATATAAATATCAGATAAACTTATCGTAAAATCAACTTGGTTGTCTTCACTCCATTAAGTAAGCTGGTTTTTTATCGAGCCGAAAAGAAAAACGCGAAGGGAGTCCGGTTATTCCTACTAACCCAGCACTGAATTAATCTGACCTCTAACTTTAAGATTGGGGTTAGAAGGCGGTCCTTGTAATTATTTAATTTAGCAAGCGAATCTGTATTTCTAGTTCAAAACAGGTTTCGAATAATAACATATATCTTCAGTTTCACTAAATTAGTTCAAAATCCAGATAGAGACTTCATAGGTCTGATTATATCCCTTATTATTAAGCAAACGAATTTCACCTTTTAACTTTACTCCAAAAGGAGTTCTCATTTTGTCCAAAAGACGCTTAAGCATTTTATACTTTTTTTTTGGATTTTGAAAGGATTTTTTTTACTTTATGACCTTTACATTTCAGAAACCATTTAAGAACTAAAACAACTTAAAATTCTAAATAAATTCTGAGCTAGTTTTTCTCTTTATCGTGAGCAAAGCCCCTGCAAAACCGCAATGCAACCCGAACACTCTTTTTGACATGCCACATTTTTATACCCTTGCAGGGTATTATAATTTCAGTCAGAAGTTTGCAACGCAGTGAAGGAGGCACCTCCGACTATATAAAGTATATATAGATCAAGAAGATCAGGATCAACAGCCGAGTCGATCTAGCCATGTCCGTCTGTCCGTCTGTCCGTTTCTACGCAAACTAGTCTCTCAGTTTTGAAGCTATCTAAATGAAACTTTGCAGTTAGTCTTCTATATACTCTCACTCGTATATATGTCGGAACGGGCCGGATCGGACGACTATATCATATAGCTGTCATAGGAATGATCGGAAAAGTTTTACAAAAAAAATTATAAAATTTTTAGTTTTCAACAGAATTTGATCAAATTTGAGATATAGCCATTTCATATTATTCTACAATTTTGTGTAAAATTTTATGAAAATCGGACGACTATATCATATAGCTCCCATAGGAACGATCAAGAAATTAATTCAATTAATAAGTATAACATTTTCAGTTTTCAACAGATTTTCATCAAATTTGAGATATAGCCGTTTCATATTATTCTACAATTTTGTGTAAAATTTTATGAAAATCGGACTAATATATCATATAGCTCCCATAGGAACGATCGAGAAATTTGAGAGGAATGAGAATGGCGGTGGCTGTTGTCGGAAGACTGACAATCGCGGTGGCGATAACATTTTTAGTTTTCAACAGAATTTAATCAAATTTAAAATATATAGCCATTTCATATTATTCTAAAATTTTGTGTAAAATTTTATGAAAATCGGACTACTATATCATATAGCTCCCATAGGAACGATCGAGAAATTAATACAATTAAATTTATAACTTTTTTAGTTTTCAGCTGATTTTCATAAAATTTGAGGTATAGCCATTTTATATAAGTCTTAAATTTTGTGGCAAATTTCATAAAAATCGGACGACTATATCATATAGGTGCCATACAAACGATCGTTTGATGTAGAGGAAAAATGCAAATCTGTGAATGTAAAACTGCAAATATAATATGTATAGGTGAATGAAATGAAAGCAGGTATTACTTCATTGTTTTTTAACACAAATATATATAATTTATATTGTATGGATTCCTATTCATAGAAGTTCTATCTGCAAGGGTATATATACTTTGGCGTGCCGAAGTTAGCTTCCTTTCTTGTTATATATGTTATAAAGGAAGTGGCTTTTCAGAGATAGTCTAGAAAAATCGACTTAAATTCTGGGGTTAATTTTTCACACAATAAAAAAATTCGTGGATCTGTCGCATTCGATACGTGACTCTAATAAGGAAAGCGTGCCTCCAAAGACTACGTCACTTTATTGTTTCATAATTAGCAACACTTGGGAGCGATATCAGTTTTAAACTAAGCCACGTTGCTAGCTCAATAATTAACTCTAATTAACTGAATTAAAGCAATGAGATATGTACATATCTCCGATATGCAAATGTCAGTGATGGAAAATAAAGTGCCTGTTTTCTGTTGCTAATTGAACAAAACATTAGGGCTTATTAGGGGCTTGACACTCACTATATTTATACAATTATTCAAAATATTCATACTCAACAAAAAACTGTTCGGTATTTTCCACTCTTTTTTTAAAAAACCCATATAAAACCTACAAAAACCTACCTCGTAGAATACAGTTTATGACGTTTGTATTATATAATAAGTAGTACATGTAGCTCGGATTCCAGTTTGCTGCATAACAAACAATAGTAATCAGAGCCAGCTTATAATTATAATATAGTCAGTTCCATTCCCTGGGCAATGTGGTTAACATTGAATATTAAATGAATGCATTTATGGCTTCCCTTCATGCGCTGATTTTTCTCCAGGGCAGCTCTCACCATATAAACCCAGTGCACTTAAATTCGTATAATATAAATCGTATAGCACGCTGGGCAATTCACAGTCTGATCACCTCCCTGTCCGGATCCACAGGGAAAATAAAAACAATTTAAAACAAGAAAGAAAGCTAACTTCGGCACGCCGAAGTTTCTATACCCTTGCAGATAGAACTTCTATGAATAGGAATCCATACAATATAAATTATATATATTTGTGTTAAAAAACAATGAAGTAATAGCTGCTTTCATTTCATTCACCTATACATATTATATTTGCAGTTTTACATACACAGATTTGCATTTTTCCTCTACATCAAACGATCGTTTGTATGGCACCTATAAGATATAGTCGTCCGATTTTCATAAAATTTGACACAAAATTTAAGACTAATATAAAATAGCTATACCTTAAATTTGATGAAAATCAGCTGAAAACTGAAAAAGTTATAAATTTAATTGTATTAATTTCTCGATCGTTCCTATGGGAGCTATATGATATATTAGTCCGATTTTCATAAAATTTTACACAAAATTGTAGAGTATAGTTAAATGGCTATATCTTAAATTTGATCCGATTCTATTGAAAACTGAAAAAGTTAAAAATTTTTTTGTAAAAATTTTCCGGTCATTCCTATGGCAGCTATATGATACAGTCGTCCGATTCGGCCCGTTCCGACATATATACGAGTGAGAGTATATAGAAGGCTAACTACAAAGTTTCATTCAGATAGCTTCAAAACTGAGAGACTAGTTTGCGTAGAAACGGACAGACGGACAGACGGACAGACGGACAGAAGGACAGACGGACAGACGGACAGACGGACAGACGGACATGGCTAGATCGACTAGGCTGTTGATCTTGATCAAGAATATATATACTTTATATAGTCGGAGGTGCCTCCTTCACTGCGTTGCAAACTTCTGACTGAAATTATAATACCCTGCAAGGGTATAAATATGCAAACAAACAATCTGTTTTGCTGCTGTTCTTGAATTATTATAGCGACAAAAGCTGATCTCATCCTCGCGTGTCTATGGTCGTTGCTCTAATTCAATTCAGTTCAGATGAGAGGGACTATAATTTGTGTAAGGTTATGTTCCGACAAACTTTGATTGTTTGAGAGAGATTTCAGGGAAATACATTTTTATTATTCACTTCCTCAGGGTCAGGTTCCCGGTTGGTTTAACTAGAGGTTCAAGGCGTTGTTTGTCAAACCTATTTTCATTTTGTGGGTCGGCTTTGAAAACCGACCTTACCCATTAAATATTTTCTTAATTTAATATTTAATCTTATTTCAAGCTCAAAAGTCTTTGATGTTGCCTACAAATGATTTATTAACCTTAATTAACAAAGTGGTGCGAGACGGAAAGATTTCCAAAAGAATTTGTATTAAAAATTATAACGTTTTTTTTTTAATAATCCAGCTTGAGTCAGATACCCAAACTGACCCACCCCAATATTTTATTTTATATTTCTCCGCATATATTAATTTAAGTAAAAAAATCGTTTAAAAATTAATTCGATTCGTCTTGTGAATTCTTATAAACAGTGTCCGAAAAGCAGAAACAAATATATTTCGATTTGATTTTCATTTTTGTATTTATTGTTGTAATATATATTTAATTTAAATTAAACATTAATATATAATATATATGATATATAACATTGTGTAAATTGAAAAACTTCTCGGTACCTGCAAGCAATTTTTCCACAAATCAACACATATTTGATCAATTACTTATACGTCTAAAGCAAATGTTAAATTATTTTCATAATATTTCCGTATTTTGCACAATTGAGCTTGAATACCAAATAACCGGTTACATTTTTATATTTTGTATAATTACAAGTTGGGTTAAGAAAATTTAACTTTCGAAACATTTTCAACTTTTACATATATGCATATATCTAGATTTAGATTTATTTTGACACTTGCTCGGACTGTGACAATGATCAGTTGGTATTACAATAAATATATAGGGAAATGTCTAATATAGACAAGGATACAATAAAAATCGGGGTCCAAAGTATACGTAGTTAGACATACATACATATTGAAAAAAATAACAATTGTAAACCTTAATCGGCGTCAATGAAGCATTTTTCTTTCCTTGTTACTTTTAATTATTTTTCGTTAATATTCTATTCCTGTAACTGATCCAATAAGGTAAAAAAAAACCAAATTACGCACATGTAGATTTAAAAGTATCTACTGCAATTTACTCAGTCTCGTACGCAAAATAGAAAATGTTATTTTTTTAGCTTTTTTCGTTTTGCTTCCCTTGTGGTTTGTGTATAAAGGTTTTTCTTTTGTTTTTCCTTGGTTCGCCTAGGGTCAAAAAATGCGTTGGTCAAGCAGGCAGGTTTTCGTTGTTTGATTTTCTCATCGAGTGCTGTTTGTTGTATGTCTGTAAACAATTTGGTTTACTGTTAAGCCTTCACACGAAACTTTTTTGTAAAAGCATTTGGAAGATTATATGGGTGTTAACAATAAGAGTATAGGGTCTTGTAAATTGGTATCAAGTTCTGGCTTCTGCATTGTAAATGGTAGTGTATTCGCGATGCGGAAGTACAGTCGCGTTGGATTATTGTAGCTGCACAGCTGCTGTCCCACTTTCTCGCATGCTTCGCGCCATCTTTTCGTCCGCCATCTTTTGTGTCTTACAGCTTTTTTCTTTTACCTTTTACGTTGTTTTTCTTTTTGTTTTACTGTCTTCTTTTATGTTTTGCTACTTTTCAGGTTTTTCCTTTCTTCTGGTTAACATTTATATGGCATTTGCGAATTGCTGTTCTTGCTTTCAGGGCTGTCGTCCCGCTCACACCTTGCAGCTCTGTTGGGCAAGGACGGAGGAGAGCGCTGGGGCTGGCTGCTGCACCACCTCGTGGCTGTGCTCATGCTCATGCATCTCCTCCTCGTCCTCGCAGATGCTGTCATGGTGCTTGCGCTGCTCCCGCTTGCGCATGTAGTTGATAAGCGGTCGCTTCTTGTGCTCCTTGCAGAAGGGGCAGTCCTTGCGCATTTGCTTCTCCGACTTTATCTGCTTGCACTTTTCTGTAAGGAAAGCAGAATGAATATACACCGTTAGCTATGCGCTCGCATTAATTATCTTCCATCCCTCTATTCTCACATTCGCCCTCGCTTCCTCTATTTTGGCCTACGTGCCCGTGCCCACTGCCCTTTTGGGCCAGACAGCTGATTGTACCGGCGTGACGTCGCTGGGCCTATGCTCACGACGTCACGTCGACACCAGCTGCTCTCACTCTCCTTTTCCTCTTGCGACCTTACTTGCCGTGGTGACCCTGTGGCTCACACACACACACACACACACACACAGTCGGAAGATTACACTATTGCTTTGATTGCTCAATTGACACCGTGTTAAATGCTAAACGGTTCTTATTAATCAAAGCCCAGCCGATTCATGTGGAAACGGTTTATAAATAGCCAATCGCTGTGATAAGCGACCTTGCATAATCTATGTTACCATATACATATATAACACACGAAAAAAAACTAAATGTTCTATTTTTAAGGAAATTAATCAATAAAAAAGCTTTAAAATTTGACACAGAATGAAAGTAGAATTTTGAAAATTTGAAAATATTCTTCGTAAATTCCAAAAATGTTAGATACTACTACTACTACTTCTACTTTTGAGATATTTAACAGGTTTTGCCCTAACCTCACTTTGGAAAAGCGGACTTAATGAATTTAGTAGCGTATCGAATTTTCTATATTTTTCTTACATTTCTTTTTTGTCTGCTGTGATAACTGAACGGCACAGTGGGGGTAATTAGTCATATGATATGCGGATGTACTCCAAAAAATATATGTATCTGTATTTATTGACCGCGCACCTTAGTTCTTTTATTGCGCCTCAGGTTTAGCCCAACTCTGATTTATATACATATGTGTGTCTTTGCGCAAAAGAGAGTTACCAATACAGTCTTTGCTTTTTGTTGACCAATTCTGAAGGTACAGTCGTCAGTCTTGGCATGTGTCTGTTTATAGTATATGCATGCTTTGTTTATTGGACTTTAATGACCTCCATAACACGGAATCGGTTGCCGAGTTTAACCACCTTTTTGTGACTGTTTACGATTTCCACATCTTACAATACACTCTTTGTGTACCTTAATTGCGCCTCAAATTTTAAATTCAAATGGAAACCTATTAACGTGCTCGTTCAGTTTTTTGCAATTGACTGTCCATATCATACCACACGTGGAGCTAGGCCACCAGAAGGAAAAAATCGTAAACAAAGATGGAAAGCTGAGCTGATAAAGCGGGTGCCCTGTTAAGAAACCACCGTGGACACCCTGTGTGTATGCGCAAAAATTAAGGCGTGTTCCCCACACGCACACAAACACACTCGTATTCACAGACGAAAAATCGGGCTGGCTATTTATAAACTTGCAAAAACAACAAACAACGCACGCAATTCACAAAGTGAACGGCGTTACGAAGGGGGGCGGGTCTTGCTATCGTACGTGTGTATATGCACATATTGTATGTATGAATGCACATTCTACTCGAAAGCATGTTTTCGTTGCATTTACGACTCTACAATTGCCTTACTGGAAGCTCTGGAGGACTATCGTTAATGGCCATTTTTTTGGGGCCCCGACAATTACCTTGCACTCGACTGTAGCAATCCTTGACCGCATACGGAGATGTGGTGGTCTCCAGGGTTCCGTATGGGAACTGCTCGTAGTCGCGGTAATAGCCGTTGCGCATCGATCCGCCATATGACATGGTAGAGTCGCTAACACAGAATCCCCAAACATCCATGTCTGTAGCTTGTTTTTTTTTTCTCTTCCTTCGCCTTGCAAGGAGCGGTACAGTTATGGTGGTTTGGCGGACGTGGGTGTGTTGTTCTCTCTCTGTGAACGGCGCGTTGTGCGAGGTCGTTTCACTTTGTCTCTCTGCTCTTTGCCGTGCAATGAACTCTGTTTGAATCACTGTGTCTTGCGGCCGTAGTCTCAGGCGTTTTTTTATTTGACGCGTATTTATGCACTTTTTTTAAGAGTGAACACCAAAAGTCAGGTATGTTGTTTGTGCATTCCAGTCTTAATGCAAATGGGTTCGTCTATATTTCACCGATTTCGATGTATTCTCAGTGGCAAGTCTCGTATGAAACTAAAAGCCGAGCGTCGAAATTACTGCATTTTTGTAGCCCTCGTGTGCGCGGTGGCTGCTTCGGCTCTTGTTTTGCTGTCGACTTCGGGTCTCACAGCTCGTGCGTAAAGTTGTTTTTGTCCCCCATATTTACTGGTTACGTGTGAGTGTATGTGCGCAATGGGGGCACAATGGTAGAAACACTTGGGGGCTAGAATTGTATGAATCGGATTCACTGATACGCATTCTCTTATTTCTTAGCATGTATTCAATATTTCCTATTTTAAATTTATTGAAATTCAGTTATTCTAATCGCTATTTTGCTTATTTAAAATGTAATTTTCGCTATTATTCAAGTGACCTGGATTGTGTGAAAATTGTATGTTTCGTTGTGTACACATATGTATGTATATAAGCATGTGTGTACGACCTTTTGTTGTGTTGTGTTTTCGCGTCTCGTGCTTTTGTTGAGGCCTCACCTTTCATCCTGCCCTCCTCGTCGAGTGCTTACAGCGCTCTCACATGAGGCACAGTGGGACAAACACAGAAATCGATGCGCTTCGTAACCACTCATTTTCCTAATGATTCACCCTGCATTAGTTTTAAAAATTCCTAATAAATGTTAATTAGGTGAGGGCATGAAAATCATACTGGAAGTTTTTATTATTAGCAATCAATTGCTAACAGCAAAAAGGTGACGAAAAACAGATGCCAAGAGAGTGATACGATGGATGATGGATTGGATTGCTGTCCATCTGGAGGTTTAGATATATCTTTATAAGGTTTGCTAATCAAAGTCTAGACTGCAGGCCGAGCACGAGTTGTTTTAGCCTTAATTGAGCTAAGCGAAATTCGGTTGCTAAGCGGTATTTGATTTTATTGGGGTTAGTTAATTTAAACATGGTTTCAAACCAAAAGCTCCTAGTGCTTATGGTTCTTTGGACCCTTAAAAATCACACCAAACATAAAAATGTGCAGCTTATGTTATTTTTTCTGTTTACTAAATGTTAACATTATCGTACATATTCGTAAACCTAGTGTTAATGGATGGTCTACGTCATTTTAGCCGGTTCTGACGAAGGTTTTTGTATTTTTTTCCCTTATATTATCGACCTACCGGCTTTATTAACAAATTTTTGCGGTTTAAGTTTGCTATACACGAATTTCGGGGCATACGAAGATATCGTGACAGATTTCCAAAGGTGGGCGGACATAAGGTGGCTAAATATAGCTAATACTTTGTTTATATGGGCCGCTTTGGAACCCAAATGACTAATCGCGATCCACAATTTTCATTAATTGAGTTTGCGGTTAATTGTTCCAGTTTTAGTTCCATCTGTTTGGATTGGACAAGCCCCTAAAGGTCGTTTGCATTATCGTACCGTCTTTGGATCTTCAGAATTAATTAATTAAATACTCAGATGGTAAATTACATAAGACCATTTTGTATAACGTGTCTTCAAAAACACTTTAATTAGATAACGTGTTAATACAGCCCACTGTGCCCTCTCAATTAGCTACGCCTACGCCGCTGCTGCTGCGCAGTTTGAGTAAATATCCCCTGCCCGCTCTCACCGCCTCTCTAACGTTCTTTTGGCCCACGGTGCTGACCTGCTTAATCAAACAAGTGTCTTTTACTCATACCGAACTCTGGCAAGCAAGTATGTGTACTAAATGCTAAATATGTATGTACATATTTGTTAGTTTTGTTAGTGTGTATGTATATAGTATGTATTTTGTTGGCACAACAACAAATGCTTGATTATCTTCGTTTCTTTCCTCCTTGCCTTCAATGCATTTACTGATAACAGTTGGGCGATAGATAATAATCTCAAAACACTGAAAGAAAACGACATATGTATGTACTTATCTGAATAAGAGCTCACAATTAAAGGTCAAGTTTTGCACTCGATTCTTATGATGTACAACAATTTTAAATATTCGTTGTTCTACATAAAACCTATTCATTTACGCACATACATAACAGTGTATTTTTAAATCAATCCCATCTAGTTTATTTTTTGCGCTTTGACTAATGGCTTTAATTTAAATGGAATTTCTATGATACATTTGTGATATCAGTCGTTGATAAATTGAATACAACTTAATGATAAAAATGATTGTAATTAGAAATTAAATTTGTTATATTTCCATTTCGATTAAAGTAAGGTAAACATTAAGACTGTTGTTCAATCATTTCGCAGAGTTTTTCCAAGAGGGCAGTTATCTGACAATAGAGAACACTCGACTTTAGTTTCTTTACAGTATATCTGTATATAATTAAATACATATGTATAAACAAAAATAATACCATTATCATTAGTAGTTTTTATTTCCGCGACAAAGTTTTAATGACACCTATAAAATATAGAGGTCTGTATATGTATGTACATACATTCATACTATGTTAAATATACGCAGATAGAGGTGTTCTAGAAATAATTGAAATTAATTCTTTATGTAACTGTTTTTTTTTATTATTATTTTAAAAATGTGATGCAAATAATACTTTCAAGTACCCCCATATAAAGCAATTTTTGCTCTCTTTAAATGACCATTTCACGAACTCAAAACTTATAACTTTCCATTTTTCTTCTTTCAAGGAAAACCTCGGTGGAAACTCAAAAACTGTCATGTTGGCTACCATCTCACCAGCTAGTCTACATGCGGACGAAACTCTTGCCACTTTGCGTTATGCCTGCAAGGCACGCTCCATCGTTAACCGGGTTAAGGTGAATGAATCTCCCCATGACAAGATCATTCGGGACCTGCGTGCCGAAGTGGATCGCCTGAAGTCACTGCGGAACGAGTACGAGAGGCAAAGGCGTCTTTCCGGGAACAACAATAATAATCCGGTGCCAAGAAAGATCATTATCGAGACTTCGGTTGATGACACCGAGGTGGAGGCACTACGACAGCAGCTGGCTGAAAGGGAACGAGAGCTTAGTCGTGCTCAAAAATCCTGGATGGAGAAGCTCAAGGAGGCGGAGGATCAGCGCAAGTCGGAGCTCCGATTGCTCAAGCGTCGCGGTTTAGCCCTGGAATTGACTGCCGATCAAAAGCAGGCATGCTTGGTCAATCTTACAGCGGATCCGATCCTAAGTGGCACCTTGTTTTACTTGCTACCCCAAGGGCTAGTGCGCATCGGACGCGGTCGCCTTCCCAGTAATTCCAGTTCCCAGCCTGATATTGTACTGGATGGTCCCTTGGTTGCCCTGCAGCACTGCAATATAGAACACGATCGGGCTGGAAAACTTTTCGTCATACCCGGCAGCGAGGACTTTGAGACCTATGTGAACGGAGAGCTCTTGCAGGATCGTCGGCAGTTGTTCCATGGCGATCGCTTGGTGATTGGTGGCTCCCATTATTTCCGCATCTCCAATCCTTTTTGTCCACAGAGAGGCAAAACCGAGCAGCCGGTGGACTTTCAGCTGGCCCACCAGGAGATTTTGCAAAAACAGGAGCAACAATTGCGCTCGGAGCTTGAAGCTGAAAAGCGAGCAGCCTTAACACGCATCGAACAGGAGCGTGCCCAACATGCCAGGGACTTTGAGGAGCGGCTGCAGTGCCTCGAACTGGAACAGTTCAAGTACAAGTGTAACAGCGAGATATTGGAAACGGAGCGTCAGGCACTGGCTCAGCAGCATCAGCAAACAGCGCTTAATGAGGAGCAGGCAACATCGACTCCAGCGCAAAAATCAACGCTTCTGGAGGATATACAACGCATCATGCTGAATCCATCGGAAGAGAGCCTGCATAAGACCCAGCTAATGGTCAGGGAGGCCACACAAAGGTGTCGTCAGCTGGGTCTGCAACTCGAGTTTCGGCAAACCCAAACGCCAGACGAGTTTGGACTGCTGCGGACGGTGATCCTGATTCTGGACAAGCAGCGTGGCCTGAAGGCCGAGTGGCCTACGGCCCGTTTGGGCGTGTGGCTTGACATGGTCAGGGACAGTGCAGCGGAGCAGCCGGATAAACAAAATGCCCGCAACATTTTCCAGAGCGTGGAGGTTGATTGGGAACCCCTTGATGCGGATCTCAATGAGACACTGAGTGACACGCACAATTCTAGTCGAATAGCTCTAAATCTAAGTGCCATGAAGGATGTCCTGCTTAATAAGCCCCTGAAGAGGCTGCTACTGAACGTTTCGGGTAGTAGTAACAATTCACCAAGACAGACATCCACGCCATCTGCCAAAACCACGCCCATTAGTCCTTCTCCTGGCAGCAAACTGGTGCAGTACACCAAGCGTCTGCTCACGTACGATCCCGAGGAGACGCCCCTTGGAAACAGTAGCAACTTCGCCGCCGTTGTTCATCAAGAGCTGCTGATGATACAGCGCTGTTCACAGCGTCTTCAGAGGCAATGTGAGAGCGTTTTGCTCGAGCGGGAGAATCAACAGGATAGCGGAGTCCTAGCTGTCAGTGTTCAGGAGGCGCTGGGACGACTGGATAGCGTCCTGAACGGAATACGCAGCTCCCTTGCCCAGGCGGAGGCTGCTGCTGCTGCTGCAGGTGGTGCCATGTCACCAACAAAAGCACAGAAGGCGGTGCGCTTTCTTATCGATTGATGGCTATTAGTTCTCCCACCTTGGACTACATTTCAAGTTGCTGCAATGTGCTTTGTGTTTGTTTTTATGTTTATTTTTATATATGTATACTCATATATATTTTTGTGTATTGGTTTTTAAAAATAAAATATTTAATAGCACCAAAATGAAGACGAATTTTGAGCATAATTGTGTATAATTTAAATTGGTATTGTAGAACAAAATATTAATGACTTTAGAATGTGTTGTGAATGTGCAGAGGAGGTATTTTTCAATGGACAACATATATAGAAATGTATTCCCAAAGAATCTAATATTTAGGTTTTAGTTTTCCAGGTTTTACCAAGTTCTTTTAGAGAGATTAGTTTGCTGTTCTTGTGGCAAAATGAAAAGAAACCATTAAGTTAATTGGTTTTGTTTGTGCACCGACCTGTTTTAATCATATATATCTAATGTAAAACTTTAACATGTGTTTTGCATATTTATATAAAAGGTAAAAAATAATAGCACCACTAGATAAACTCTTTTATTTGACCAATAACATCATGATACTTCACCCTCCTGCAGAGTCTCATTCGTGATGCGTTCCTGCAACTTTGTGTTGAGCTGCAGTACCCAATCACACCACTGTCCATCCTTAAGGTTTACAAAATCGGCAAGAAAAACATTCACCTTGGGCTCCTCTTTAGGCTCAAAGGGGCCGGGTATTTGGTCTGCTATCCACGGATGAAGCTTCTTATCTACCCGCTTGGCTGTGCTCTTCAATGTGAAGAAGAGGCGGAAGGCAATATAACGACCAGTGGGCGTTATGAGGCACTGAGATACATAACCCTGTTGGGGCTGCCGAGAGAGGAGGGAATCCTCCAGAAATGATTGCAACTGTTTTACACTCGACTTATTTGGCCAGGGGGTTGGCCAAGCATAACTTGGCCAAAAACGCAGGGGAAGCGGAATGGGACACCTCCTATAGATGATTACCAATTGGCGGCGCATCTCAAGGCACCGGTTCAGAGTACAATCCTTAAGGGATCCATCTGCGGTGGAGTAGAGACGATGGCCGAAAAAGGTGATCAGATCCTTGTGGAGTTGCTGGTGATGGGCCACTGTGAGAGCGTAGAAGTGTTGCAAGTCAAGGATGACGACCTCCTCGGGATGGGAGTCCAGGAAGTTACGAAGCTCCAATAGGGGCTCAAACACCTCCATGCAAAACAGGCCGTGGCAGTAGTAAAACTTGTCATCCTTCTGAGCTATCCGAAGGTCAAAGTACCGCACACCAAGCTGCAGTTGCTCAACTACGCCGGAGGACTGTGTCCTGCTCCACCGGCGAACAAAGCATGGGAAGAAGCGATGCCATCGCCTTACCGTGCTGTCTGCATCTGGCGCCAGTCTTGATTTACTGCTTATGCCGTAGGTCATAGAGTTATGGGAACCTATACTAGATGTGCGACGTTTTAATTAACTCAATTGAAGGGTGATCTCATCACGCAAACCTGGAATAGCCAGATTAATGATGGACATGTCGCGCAATGCCATTGGCAGATCCCGCATCCAGTGCTCCTTTGTCATGGTGTCGCCCCCAATTTTCTTTCGTAAATAATGGTAATCTTTAACTTCAAACTGATAATAAAACCGTTTTTGCGGAATGTTTTGTTTTCTGATTTATGGTGTGACCAGTGCACACCCGGTGGAAAATACAAGCAGTCAAAGAATGGGGCTAAATAAGCCTGCGAACTATCGATTTAAAGGTGACCGCTAAAGTTTAAATGTATTTTTATATGATGTAGTTTTTGTTATAGAGAAATCTGAGTTAATTGCGTTGATATATATATATATGATACCCTTAAACCATTTGATTGTTCTCCTTATTTTCACCCTCAAGTTCGTCCTCCAGGAGCCACTGCTGCGATCGCTGAGCCAGCAGCTGATCGGATTCGTTCGAAACTTTTATTGTGCTTGCACAGTTATTGAAGCTACAATTACCGAGTAGATTTTCTTCGTTGTATCTGAAAATGAAAATATATTAGATTATATCCTTTAGCACTAAAAATTGTACACTTACCGCTGCAGTTCTCGGAATTGCTGAAGAGAGACCAACTTTTTGGAGGTTTCCTGACCTTGAACCAAGCCGTCTGCCCATATACCAAGCTTGCAGCTATCAAAACTACACTTGCTGCCCTGCAGATTCAGGGACACTGTTTTCTCTATTAGCTCCATTCCCGTATGACAGTTTTTCACCTGAACATTTCCCAGTTCTGCGCTGGATCGAGGTCGCATCGATATTCCCACAGCAAACTTCTCTATGATGCAGCTTTTGAGCTCTAAGTTGGCGCCTGGCATACAGACAATGCCCTCTTGGGTGCTAGAGTTACCATCGCCCAGCAAACGACATCCGCGCATCGTCAGGGTTCCCTGGCGCAGGAGAATACCACGACGAACATGCCTACAATCTAGGACAAGCTGCGAGACAGCGTAGTCACCGTCAATGACCAACAAAGTGCTGTCCTCATCACTGGAGCTCACCACAGGCAGCTTGGAGAGGTCCATGATGGATGCTAGGATCGCGTCTGGCTTCACCAGCCCGCTGAGACTGCCATTATCGTTGAGGTGCTCCATAAATTTGATGGTGTGTTTACCAGGCGAGAGTAATATGTCGTCGTTGCTCTGGCAAATGCTCAGCACTCCTTGGAGCGTATTCGCTAGCTGTATCTGCGTGTTTGGCTTAACTTGCTCCTTGGCCAGCAGCAACAGGTCAAGCTGCTCCTGCAGCTTACCAGGAACTGCGACCACGTGGCCAATGGGAGCGCGTTCAATCAACAGATCGTCCGATGGCTGGGCGGTTCTCCCAGAGCTGCGCTGTAGCAGATGCCGTTTTAGGGAGTTTGACTGCATTTCACTGTAAGCTCGCCTCATCTCCGGATTCTCGAGAATCTCGAATTCACTTCTTATTATAGCCATGCGGAGGTGCAGACACATAAGATCCGTCACGGGAAGGGTGGACACGTTAAGGCTGTTTCCGTCGGAGCTTCCCGGCTTAGGCTGCTGTCTCCTTGTCGGCTCTGTACCATTGTCGTTAAGTTCCACAGCCTCGTCGTCGCTCTCTGGCTCGGCATCGCTCAGGTCAAGCTCCAGGTACTCCAGACGCTGCTGTATGTACTTGGCCTCCGCGAGCAGCGTGCGCATGTGCAGAGCCAACGGACGGGAGAGCTTGTTCTTGCTCAGATCACAAGCCAGCTGGATTCGAGCCTGCAGGTGCATCTGCACCCAGTCGCGGTCATCGTCATAGTCCTTGTCCCACGGCATCCAAACGTGCGAATAAAAAAAGCGCAACCGATCGATGCACTCCGCCGTGGTGTCCACATTCAGGGCGGAGTTCTCTTGCTGCACCGTGGGCCACAGCTCCACCAGGGACACCTCGTTGTTCTCCGGCAGGTGGACATCATTGTCCTGTACGGCGGTCACCACGAACACAGCCTTTAGCTCGTCGAAGATCACCTGCTCTACGTAGCCGTACACAATTGTGGGATAGCGCAGCTTCAGATCCTCACAGATAACGCGCGGTATTTTCCAAATTGCCTGCCAGCCTGTTCAGGTGAATGTGTGGGTGAGCGTGTGTAAGTGTGCATATGTATAAGCCTTTGTTTGCCTTGAGCACATCTGTGTGTTGGTTGGATGGCTTACCTGCCGGCTCAATTTTCAGCTCCACGTAAGACTTCCACTCCGATCGAACCTGCGAGGCTGGTATCACAGCTCCTTCCCACGAAAGTACAGCCTCGGCTTCCTTCAGGCGCTCCAAATACGATTTTTCAAATGTAAAAACTTCCATTTTCGCGACTATGCCAAGCCGGTGGAGCCGTTTAGCAATTTTTGAAATGCGTGCTGGAGCTGGGCAGTATGATCTATTTATCGATACTTAGAGATGGCAAGCTGTTGTCATTAACATAATGAGAATAAAACATTCACACTGCGGCTTTTCGAGTTGTTGCGAAATTAATCTCAAATTATTAATTATTCTTCTAATTAAAAAGCTTAATAATTTGATTCGACAATTTTGTATTTCTTATTTCATTCAGCGAACACACATCGTTGTGAGTTCCCCTTGGGTGAGATTCGCAAACATGCTAAAAACTTAATATTGATTAAATTAGAAAATAAAACACACTTGTGGAAAATAAAAGAGATTTTGTTCTTCATTACTATATTCCTCTTTATATTTCACAGTAAAATCGTGTGTCTGAAGCAGGTCATAGTAGAAACTGTGCATTATTTTTCTCAAAAAAATATCGAATATGATTCGATAGTTTTCATAGGCTTCGATATTTTAAATATTTATATTTCGTCAATGCTCCAAATAAATGTATAAAAATAATAAGAATTCGTGTGCGTTCGTTAATTTAAATTTCGCCTTCTCAATATTTTTGGCGCGAAGTTTATGTGTTGGTTAAGAGCAAAAAGTCAGCTATTATTAGTATTGGGTATTTAGCTTTATGTTGTTAGCATCACTGGTGTTTTCAACAGCTGTTCAAGTTTTGGTTTTTAAAAGATATAAACAATTTTAAAGTTTTACTTAAAATATGGCCTCAAACAATATGCCAGAAGATAATTTTGAAGGCGGAGATGTAAGGAAACTGATAGCGATATTCAAAAATACACATTTTCATTGAAAATCTCGCTTTTTAGTTTAACTTTGATGACGATGCGGACGATGACCAATTTGTGGCCACAAATGCGGGAAGAAAGCGTCTCTTCAGCAAAGTAAGCTGAAAATGTAATACATGCTTACACAATATAAATATATTATATATTTCCTTTCCCAGGAGCTCCGCTGCATGATGTTCGGCTTTGGTGACGATAAGAATCCCTACACGGAAACGGTGGACCTTCTAGAAGACCTCGTTATAGAATATATAGCGGAGACAACGCACCGGGCCATGGAGATTGGACGAACAGGTCGCGTGCAGGTGGAGGATATCATATTCCTGGTTCGTAAGGATCCCCGCAAATACGCCAGGGTCAAGGACCTGCTGACCATGAACGAAGAGCTGAAAAAGGCGCGCAAGGCCTTCGATGAGATCAAGTATGTTGGTAAGTATCTTTTGTCTCGGGTCTCAACCAAGATATAAATAAATCTATATTTTTTGCACAGGCAACGAGGGCAAGCTCAAATGAAAGCGACAAAAGAAATCGCCATCGGTTCAAGCCACAAGCCAATCGTAGTTGTAATGTCCTTAAAATATTTTTCACAAAGTCCTGGAATATAGTAAGCTAATCCATAATATTAACTAATCAAAGAAGTCTTCAATGTCAATGTCGGGATTGAGTATATCATCACCGAATGGCTCCAGGTCGATGCCGTTTAGTATGAGGTTCTCACAGGTTTCGGCCAGGTCGGTGTCTCCGATGAGGATTGCGCCGCGCAGCCTTCCATTCTGTAGTACAAACTTGATGTATTCCTTGTTGCGGGTGCAACGCACTAGGATCTCATAGTCCTGTCCCAGATCCTGGCCATTAAAGCGGCCCAGTAGTACCACAGGATATCCAAAAAGCTGCGTTACATGGCCAAAGAGCTCGAAACAAAAGTCCTGGTAGACAGTTTCGCCCTCACTAACTGCTGCCATGCTCCTGCCCGCCATGGAACCCATTTGACGGGCCTGTGTCCACAGGCGCATCTGAAACCAGTGGGGCGCAGGTGACCAGTCGGCTGTACAAACATCTCCTGCTGCGTAAACATCAGGCAGATTGGTCCGCATCATTTCATCCACCGAAATGCCACCGTCTTCGGAAAACTTGATTGGGACATCGGTAGTGTATTCGTGGCGTGGCTGGACGCCAGTGGCGGAAACTATAAAGTCACAGGTCAACTGCTCAGAGCTTCCATCCTCGTGTCTCAGCTTGATGCTCAGACCTCCTCCTGCCTCGGGCTCAACTTCCGTGTACTCCTCTATGTGGGATTTGTAGTAGATTTTGGGTAAGCTCTTATCTCCGATCGTTTCCGCCGCACCGCTCAAATCAAAGGTGCGATGCCAGTCCGGACCCAAGGCAGCGCCATGCTTATTATCCTGATCCTTGGGCAGCATTTCGTCGTAACGCATCCGCTTAATCGCTGTTTTTGGGGCAGAACCCTCATCTTTCACTTCCTTTCTTGCCAGTTGAAAGAACTCTGCGGCTCCGGGATCAACGAATGTGGCAGAGATGTGGCTATCCTTAACCACCCAATGGACATTAACGTTCTTGAGCTCGTAAGCCAGCTCGCTGGCGATTCCTCCGTTTCCCAGGATCATGACATCCTTGGCCGCTGCTAATCGTCGCTGTAGTTCCAACACAGAGTCTGTATCTCGAATGCCAATGATGCGTGATTCATTGGCAGCAGAGCTGAACAATTTGGGGGCTCCACCGGTGCAAAGGCAAAGGTAGCGATAACGAATCACCACACCGTTCCTAGTGCGGACCCAGTGCTCACTGCTGTTGATGTGCTCCAGCTGGTCCACGAGCGTGTCCACGGTGGCTCCCATTTCGGAGACATTCTGTTCCCTCACATCAAACTTGTACAGATACCGGGCGACCGGCACCAAATTCGTGACACTCTTCACAATGCTGGACTCGGTGAGCAGGAGAATGGATGCCGATGGTCGGCAGATGGCCAAGGTTTCGGCACAGCTAACGCCAGCTATGCCACCACCGACGACAAGGAAAACGCACTCCCGCGACATCCTTCTGATGAAATAAAATGCCAAACACTGCAAGTGATTCATTCACAGCTGACATGACAGCTGATTGGAAAAATTACAGTGAAGTCTGCCTAAAACCACTACTACTATAAGCAAAACAGGAAAATAAAAAACAATAAGATTCCACAATGATTAAAAAATAATTAGAATTAAAAGTAGAAGAAAATATTTTAAGAAACTGGGGACATACGCATTGTAATACCGATATTTTTGAATCTTTTGTTTGTTATCAATCAGTAATGCTTGTTCTTGTTTTTTGGAGTCTCATTTACTAATCAAATCCAGGTTGATTCCTTTCTAAATGCATTAGGATAACACCTATTAAGGTTCAGAATAACATACATCGGTTTCCATTTAACATTAATTTCTTTTCGCATTTTTAATAACAAGCAAGATCATCTAGATGTTCACTTAATCAGTATTTAAGCCTTCTGCTTTTCCTTCTGGCTGTAGTACTCGCTGTAATCGTACTCCCTAAAAGGCACATCGTAGGTGATGAAGCCGGAATCTCGGGCCTGCTGGACGGCCACCCTCAGGCGAAAGTGAGTTTTTTGGCACAAACCCGTTTGCGAGTAGCTAAGAACATCGCCGCTGTGGGGAGAGATAAACTGCTCCAGGAGTTCAGTGTTGCGGTAGTCCAAGACCAAATACTCGTCTCGGCAAATGGGACATGGATTTCCGGTTGCAATCCGACCCTGGCGGATGCAAGTCTTGCGAGTTTTCCGTGGCGCAAACATGCCCTTGTGATTTCGCCTTTTAGAATGTGGATTAAAATGGGTTCTTCACTGGTAAATCATTTCGCCTACCTATACTGCGTCCACACAAAATCCTCCCCATAAGTTTGTTTATAGGCAGCGCTCTTTAGGTAGCGCATTGATGTCTCTACAGGAATATTTTTGGTGCGATCTTTCGGATCAGGTCCGGAGCTAACTTGGTCGCCATCGCCCTCGCCCTCAGTTGCCTCCGAACTCTTTTCGTCCGTCGTCTCCGCTTCTGCCTCCGCTTTACAACGAAGAACACTGGCCGTGTGCAGAGCTCCGCGGCTGGAACGCGTTATGGTGGCCAAGCCACTGTACAAGCCGCGTGCAATTGGCAACATTTTAAGTTAATAAAACAAATTTGTTATTGAAATTAGTGAAGGAAAGACGACGTAACAAGTTTGCGAGCGTGCAGCCGGTAGAACAGCTGTTTTATTTTAAGCAGGTTGGTAGCGCTATTCAGGGCGGAAATATTACATTTGGAACAATAATAAATCGGTTTACTACAAAATATTTTGTATTTTAAACCTTTTTTTTGAATATAGTAAAAACCACTTATAATTGTAAAATATATGATCAAGAATTTAATTAATTTTATCCATTAAAATATATATAACTCAGGGAAAATGTTTAGCCAAAGATAAATATCTTTAAAACTACACTTATAATTTATTTATTTCGACTAATTCGAATAAAATAAAGTATTTAAAAACCAATTGGCATTTTTACTCCTTTTAAAACCTTTTTGGAACCAGTTTCGATACATTTAAGTATCTCTGAGTACATATCGATACTATCGATACTTGCAGGTGGTTAGTTTTCAAAATTGTAAAGTCAACATGTGCATTTCTTTAGATGTCAAATAAATTATTAAAATAAAATAATTTAATTAATTAACATTTATATTTTAAACAAAAGAAAAAGAAAAATAAGAATAAAAGGGAGAAAGTAGCTGTAACGCAGGATCTCCTAGAGAGACAAACGTGAGTAATCCAGTATCTTAGGCTAACGGTACAAAAACCCTCGGCAAATCCCACACCAAGGCAGGAGCAGCACACAGCAAACAAACACAACCCACACGCAAGCCAAAAGCAGAGGCAGAATGAATGAATGAAAAAAGCTGCTCCCTACGTTCGGTCCCGTTATAGTTTAGTTTCTTTCGGAATTTACTAGTGCAAAGTAGCGTTACTGCAGCGGCAGCGGAGTGTCGCGAGTGCCTGTCTGTGTGCGCGCGAGTGAGTGTGTGTGTGTGAGTGAGTGTGAGTGCGGTGGGGCCTTAAATCACGTGTATAAAAACACGGCATTTATTTACCTTTGGCTGCGACAAAAAAATCAGTCGGAGCTTGTCCTGACGCCCAGGCTCGCGCTGTAATCCATCTATCCATCCGCGGGTACGTGGTAATAGCTTGCGTGCATGCATAAGTTTCCTTTTTTTTCGTTTCGTTCTAATCAATATTTGGCAGACTTGGTCATTTAATTTTAATTGTTCGTAAGACAGAAGTGGGCCTAAACAAAAGCCTGGCCCTTGTAAGACAACAACAACAACACCACAGGGAGCATTACAAGACCAACAAACATACCCAGTTTTGCCGCCTGACACGACACACACTGCGTATAGGTGAGTCAATCGGTTTGACCGTTAGAAGAGCGAGCGAGAGCTTTGCTTGGGTGTTTTCGCTTGTTTTTATAAATAGAGCCGCATTGAAATTTCTTATCAATTGCAAAGAGACCCGACCACAACAATAAACGGGGTCTATAAATACCGCTATGCCAACTACAAACAGAATTTTTAAACGAGAGCGCAGTTAACCCTACGAGCAAAAGCTGATGGCTTTGGCACCCAGCAAAAGGGGTGGTGACCGCCCACACCCCTCCCCTCCCCTGACGAAGACTAGAAACCCCGAAATACAAAGTTTTCCTTTTAGGAGTGTGTGCTTTCGCGCATTTTCGTGTAATAAATTGTTTTATTTATTTTCCGTCGGCGCCACTAAGAAATTCATTGTAAACGTTGTGCCAAATTAGTACCTGTTGGCTGTTGTGCGCCCCCGTTTTTTATGCCTTTCACACAAACAAATAATGAGTAAGCTGGGGGTGGCTCGAAGTCTCGAGTTCCCTAGCATTACTATAACCTATTCAATTCTGAAATGAGATACTTCTTGAAAAAGTTCTGGGAAAATTACGGTAGCGTTGTATTTTCCATTTTAGGGAAATTTTTAATATTCAAAGTACTGGTTAAAAAATATATGTAAATGTAGTAAATCTATTGTTCAAAATTAATTTTGAATTCCTTTTTGTTTTATTAATTCTATAACTATTTTTTTGAAAGCAAAAAAGTTTTCCTAAATCTTTCATAGCCTTATTATTATTTAAACTAGTTCAGAGTTTACTTATATTCCAGATCAGCAACAACAGCCTAATAGCAATAGAAAAATAGTATGGAAAACTTTTAATGCTAATAATTCAAGATGTGATACATAGATATATAAGTACTTATTCTTTATAATTAAAATTCTTATTTCATTTTATATGAAAAAGAAGTATTTATAATTTATGTAAATAGAAAAACTTTCTGATTAAATTTAAGGGTAATAAAAAAAATCTTTCTGATCAAATCTGAAAGAAAAACTTTACTACTACTTATAAAATTATAGCCACTCAAGAAGTCCCTTAGCTGAAATTGGTTCTGTAATTAACCTGTATTGCAGGGTAGTTTGGCGCCAACGAATTTAGTTGTCAAAGTTCTCGCATTAATACACACCCCACACACACACACTCTGCTACTGCACAAGAGTAGTATTTTCACCTGGATACTCCACTAGCTTACATTTATTATTGAAATTTGTATCAGAGCTCCTCTACTGGTGTTCATTCCGTTCGACTTTTGTTTATCCTGCCCGGTGTGCACGTCACACGGAGGCGTTGGAAGCCCAACCATCAGATTATGGGGTTCTGTTCCGTGTCCTTCGAGACCCCTTCCGGGTTCGAGACCGGCAACATTGGCAGCTATGCCCACGTTGATGGTGCTTTATCAATAAACTGTTGCCAGTTTTGATTAATGTGTTTTTCACCAAAAGCCACAAATTGCGCCTACCTAATGTCAGATGGTCACAAGTCTACACAAAGCTGGAAAAGGTTAATTTTGTTTAATATTTCCGAATCCTAATGGTCTCATTAATGTAATTGCGAACCCATTTTTCCAAAATTAGTTATCGTATGTTTAATATTGTTAGTAAGTTAAATCAATTGACTATACTAGGTCTTTCGATTTATTTTAATTCTGCAGTAGGATTGAGATTTATTAACATAAGAAAATATAATAAAATACATCGAGACAAATTTTTATATCGAAAATATCATAGACTTTAATAGATCGATATATTAAGAACCGAATTATATCGCATTTTACATTAAAATATAGAAGTACATATCGAATTTTGCGTCATATATCGATAATTTCTGTATATACCATATATTATGGGTTCTTTGAAATCAAAGACTACTTCAAAAACTGTTTCGCCAGCTTTTTTAAATCAATTAATTTTTTTGTTTGTTAATTTAACTACCCCTAAAAAGGGCTTTTAATTTGCTAAATCATAACCCATACAAGCCTTGTTTATTTTAGGCCTCACGTACGTCCTTTTTATATACATTTCCCGCCCACATTTCGTGTTTATTCTCATTTATCACAGCGTAATGTCAATCCGAATATAAAGAACCGAATAACAAAGAAACAAATAAGCTGCTAAAAATATAATCCTTTGACCGCACGTTGCTTCCAACCTACCCCAAAAGCAGAGATAGCGTTCACAACAATTTAAATACCAATTTGCCTAATTAAGGCACCTCTAGACCGCGCCTCCGCCACTGACAACTCATTCTGAAGAGTTAGCTTCAGCCTGAGCTGAGCCTGGGTCCCCGCAGACCTTCTATAAGTCCAAAATATAGCGTGACACGTCGTCTTGTTTAGATGGTTTGGGGCACGTGGCACAGGGCAAGGGGCAGGAAGGTCCGTGCAGTTGGAGGCAATGACATCAACGTCGCAACATGCTGGGGATCCCTGAGCAGAGGTCATTGGTTGGTGCTACGTGTCGGACTGGCCTTCGGTGGCGGTAATTTTCAAAACATTTAAAATAATCATTTAAATATATATTTTTTATAAACTTTCAAATCGTCCCAGCTGGCTTCAGGCCTGTGAGTTTCCCTATCGGAATCATTAATTATAGAGAGGGGAATCCAGATGTATTTGTTCACAGGCAAACAAATCAATGTCCTGGCATTGAATCCGGCCACTGCATTGTCAATCAGTCATGAGCTGTCATCAAGACCTTTAAGTTCTTTTACGCCGCTCACCTAATACTTTTTGTGCTCCACAGACAATGATAATGGCTAAAACCGATAAGGATATTCTGGCCAACTCCATGTATGAGGATGACCCCAATGGTAATTCAGCGCCCGCCACCACCAAAGACCAGGAATCGACCCGACCAGAGGCACTTAAGGCAACCACCGATGTTTCTCCACGCTGGGGACCACAAAATAAGGGTGCCCAAGAACTGGCCTCGTTGTACAGTCCAGGTGAGTTGTATTCTGTCGGGTTTGTATCAAGTGTACTAGGTTTTAAAATAAATAAAGAATTAATGGAAATTAAGACTCATTTAGAGTTTGTTAAACCAAAAAAATTGGAATTATAGGGACTTTAATAATGAGGACACTTAAGTTTTGACATCTAATTTGGCGTAAGAGGTTGAATTATTAAGACAAATTAAATTGAAAGGTGTAATATAAATCGATTTTCTCTTCGATATATGGGACTGTGCTTAGGAGTCTTAACTAAATTAAATTGAAATTGATGGAAAAAATATATAGTGGCTTTCAAAAATTAAGGTATAGAGATGTTTTTTAAATATCCTTGAAAAAAGGCCTGTTTATTTGTTTTATAATATTTCTAGGCAATGACAAATAAGCTAGAAACCCAAACTCTCATCAGTTTTCTTAAGCAAACAATTAGTTTTTGGGCCACTTTAAAATCTAGTCAATACTAAAGAAAAACTTCAACCTATACTAATTAAAATTTTAACTTATTTCACCAGGAAAACGGGCTCAGGAACTCATTTGCGTGTACACCTGTATCGGCTTAATGATTATAAACTTGGCTTTAATAGTGAGGCATATGCGTTTGGAGCGAATAAGTGTGGCCTTTATATCAGCTTTATGTGGAATTATAACAGCTGACTTTGCCTCTGGAATGGTTCATTGGGCAGCGGATACATGGGGATCGGTGGACTTGCCACTGATTGGAAAGGTTTGTAAATTATATTCGATGTAATTAAGTAACTAATTTAATTTAATTAGAATTTTCTGAGGCCATTTCGAGAGCATCATCTGGATCCAACATCAATAACTCGTCACGATTTTATTGAAACGAATGGGGACAACTTTATGGTTGGCATACCCATCCTTGGGTATTTGGCGCACTATTTCTACATTAGATCGCCAAGCGAGATACAGCAGCATTTCGGTTGGATATCCTATGTATTCCTGTGCTCCATATTTGTGGTGATGACCAATCAGGTGAGGCGGAAACAGAGTCCTCCAAATATATATTGACCAATTTGAATAATTTGTTTTAGATTCACAAATGGTCGCACACTTACTGGGGCCTACCCAGGTGGGTGCTGTTATTGCAGAGCTGTCACATAATCCTGCCTCGCAAACATCACCGCATTCATCATGTGGCGCCGCATGAGACGTACTTTTGCATCACAACCGGATGGCTTAATTGGCCACTCGAACGCATTAGGTTTGTCTTTCTTCGATTTGTAAGGAAACACACCGTAATAATAACAAGATGCATAACGCCCTTAAATTAGGATTGTCCTATCCAAGCAATTTTTTGCTGAGCCTCTTTTGCTTTCACGCAATTCAGAGTTTAAGGCATTAGATATAGAATAAGTTTTCATGTGTGAAGACTAGAATCTTTCCTAAGGCGTTACTACTCTTATTATTATTATGTCATTGTTTTTTGCATGTATTATAGTTTAATTTTTAAAGGCTCAATATTTTAACTAGATTTTTTAATATTTCTTTCAGATTCTGGTCAACATTTGAGCATATCATCGAGCACTGTACGGGTCTTAAGCCTCGAGATGACGACATGAAATGGGCAAAGAAACTCACATAGGTTTGCTAACCAGCGACTGTATATAGAAACCTTGGACCAAGCTGACTTGACCTGACAGAAGTCAACTTCAAATGTTATCATCCTATTGACATGTTTTGCACAACAAAGTAGCTTTACATGAGAGCAAAGCGGTTTATTTATTTTTTAAGTTAAACAAATCAAAGTTAGTTGCAAGAGCAAAGAATTTTGTATTAATTGTTATAAATAGTTGATTATTTTAGCTTAAGTTAGTGTTTTTTTTATAACAATTATAGCACCACACACGCACATAAATATATATAATATATTCATTGATCTCGACCCAGATAAATCATACTACGAGTGAGCCTTATGTATACCTAAAATAACTAAAGGGACAAATAAAAAATCAGTGCTCGATTGCCGTATAATTTTTTAAAAGTTTACACAAGGGAAATATAATTACTTGCAGAGCAACTGATTTTTGTACCAAATCCTAACAAAAAGACATTTTTAATACATTTCATCATCGCTGCTTTTCGATGGCTATAAAATAAATCACATTTATTTACAACAAAATATAACTATATATATACAATTAAATTGGGCGCTGTATGCAATCAGAATGTGACTTACAAATTTTGCCTTAAAACCTTTTTATAGAAATATTATAAAAACCTATTTCTAAAAAACTGTTTAGTGCGCACACTTTTTACAGGTATAAAATGAATGTATATCGAAAATGTTGTAAACGAAACAAATTTAATATTTATTTATGTGTATGTTTGTTATGTGCTAAAACATTTTCAGGTATTTCACTAGCTCTTTAAGAAATATTAATAATCCAAGTGGCCTTTTGAAGAGTGCTAGCTGCTTTTATCATTTGGCATTAATTCTAAGACAGCAATATGAATTGTGATCCAATAAAATAATTGAATAACACTTATGGCATTACATTATTTTATATTGCCTGTGGGTTGCACGGGACTGAAAGCTATAATCAATTAAAAGACTTAAGAGATCACCTTTTTTGGGTTACATTCCTCAAACTATAAATTCGATCAACTTTAACAAAGGAAAATACAGTAAGCATTTTATGGTTTCATATGAACAGTAAGTAAGTAACTATGAACATTGAGTAACTATGATCGGTGATTAACTATGATCAGTAAATAACAATGATCAGTAATTAACTATGAGTAGTAAGTAACTCTGAATAGTGAGTATCTATTACCAGTAAGCAAATATGATCAGTAAGTATTTATAACCAGTAAGTATGCATGATCAGTTACTACCTTTGAACACTAATAAACAATGACTTGCAACTTTTGTAACACAACACATTTCTAAGACTTGGCCGGCAGGAGTCACTTCGTTCCGGGGATGTTAGAACCAGTTGGGAATCATAGGCACAGGTGTGCGAGATTTATTTGGAACAAATTTAAGAGCAGACTGTTTAAATAAAACTGTGGAGTTCTTCTACTATAAAATTTAACTAGTATATAAGTCGGAGCATGGCGAAACGGTGGGCTATATATTATATGTAGATATAGTGTCCAAAACAACAATCGGACGATTTATAGATCTATAATCAGTTATTAGCTATGAGCAGTGAATAACTCTGAACAGTGAGTATATATGACCAGTATGTAACTCTGAACAGTGAGTATTTATGACCAATAAGTAAGTATAATCAATAAGTATTTATGAGCAGTAAGTAACTCTGAATAGTGAGTATCCATTACCAGTAAGCAACTATGATCAGTAAGTATCTATGACCACTAAGTATGTATGATCAGTTACTAACATTAAACACTAATAAAGTATGACTTGTAACTTTTGTAACACAACACATTTCTAAGACTTGGCTGGAAGAAGTCACTTCATTCCGGGGGTGTTAGAACCAGTTGGGAATCATCGGCACAGGTGTGCGAGATTTACTAGCAACAAATTTAAGAGCAGAGTGTTAAAATGAAACTGTGGAGTTATTCTTCTATAAAATGTAACTAGTATATAAGTCAGAGCATGGCGAATCGTTGGGCTATATATTATAAGTAGATATAGTGTCCATAACAACAATCGGACGATTTATAGATCTATAATCAGTAATTGAATATGAGCAGTTAATAACTCTGAACAGTGAGTATATATGACCAGTAAGTAACTCTGAACAGTGAGTATTTATGACCAATAAGTAAGTATAATCAATAAGTATCTATGAGCAGTAAGTAACTCTGAATAGTGAGTATCCATTACCAGTAAGCAACTATGATCAGTAAGTATCTATGACCACTTAGTATGTATGATCAGATAATAAGTTTGAACACTAATAAACAATGACTTGCAACTTTTGTAACACAACACATTTCTAAGACTTGGCTGGCAGAAGTCACTTCGTTCCGAGGATGTTAGAACCAGTTGGGAATCATATGCACAGGTGTGCGAGATTTATTTGGAACAAACTAGTATTAAACTAGTATATAAGTCGGAGCATGGCGGATCGGTGGACTATATACATATATACTGATATATAGGTGACATAGGAAGAATAGGACGATTTATATAACTAGGATCAGTTATTAATTATGCCCAGTAATTAAGTATGATCAGTAAGTTTCTATGTACATGAAGTTACTCTGAACAGTAAGTATCTATGAGCAGTAAATATCTATGACCAGTATGTATGATCAGTTACTATCTTTGAACACTAATAAACAATGACCTTCAATTTTTTTAACACAAAACATATCTGAGACTTGGCCGGCAGAAGTCGCTTTATTCCGGGGATGTTAGAACCAGTTGAGAATCATATGGACAGATGTGGGGAGGAAAATGCAAAACTGTGAATGTAAAACTCCAAATATAAAATGTATATGTGAATGAAATGAAAGCAGGCATTACTTTATTGTTTTTTAACATAAATATTTATAATTCATATTGTTAGAATTCCTAGAGATCGGATTTCAATCTGCAAGGGTATACAAACTGATTCCTCCTTCTATGTAAAAGAATTAAATAATTTTTGAATAAAATCAAATCATTATAGTTCTGACTAAAAAGAAGAACATAGTTTTTAATTCAATAAAATATTGATATAAAATTCGAATATATAGCCTTTTTATTTAAATGATAAGCACAGCATTTGTGTGAAATTTTGCTGTTAGAAATATTTCCACGCTGTTGCTATTTGTCTGCTGAATTCCATTTAAATGTTTTGGAGTGATAAAGTATTTAGTTTAAGTACTTGTTTTGCCGTCTTCGTTGCGAGTTTGAAGACCCCAGTAAAAGTCCATTTGAAGTCACCGTTCAAGGGAATGTCCAGAATAATATGGTTTTGATTTTGTTATTTAGCATCCTTGGTTTTTTGCTCGTCCTTAACCTCTGGTGGCGGCGGTGACTCTTCCTCCTCATCCTCGGGTGGCAGACCCAAATGCATTCGGGACCAACGGGGCAGGTTTAAAATGGACCAGTAGGGTATAATCATCATAAGGATTAGTGGTCCAACCCCGAAGATCAGCCGCTGAACAGTGCTCATTGGGAAGCGAGGTGGTCCTGCGACAGGCATGAAGTTCCGTACTGGAACTCCTTGTATCTTAGCCATCGAGCGCCGGTTGGATAGAAGATGTTGACGCACCAGAGTAAAGACCATGTTGGATCCTGAATTGGAAATATAAATAATGCTGTAATTAATCAAACCAGTTTATATTTTATAATTTTTACAGACCAATTTGATTAACTCCTGTGTGAATTGAAAGAAAATAAACATATGTGTGTTTATATTTGACAGCTCAGGAGTTGTTATAGAGAACTCATAGCTTGCTGATTATTAAAAGAATTTGGGTTTAAGTTAGTAGTAAATGCTCGAAACCAAATTAAGTAATGGGGTATATAATTAAAATAGTTAAGACTTACCGTAGTCATGGCCTAATTCCTTCCAGAGTAGAGTTAAGTTCTTAGTAACTCATCGAAGTGAGCTTCTTCCTAGTTATCCAGATGTATTCCATAGACCAGGTGATTTTTTTGCGGTCGAAGGGTAATCATGATCACTGCCACTATCACTATAGATGTAAACACTGGGTACCCCACGGACAGACTGAGGCGAGCGCAATGGACGTGCCTCTATTTATAGTCCCCGAGCAAAAAGAACAGAGAAAGTGAGAGCGAGAGAGCAAGGGATACCTCTAGAGATAGGCAGAGAAAGATAGAAAGTAAGCGTGAGCTCTACAGATAATGAGTTAGAAAGAGAGCGAGAGGCAGAGGGATGGAGAGGGAGAATTAGAGCGCGCCGTTGTTTGTTTACCATTTTAAATTGCAATTCTATTATGTATACTAAATACAATATAAATTATATTATTTATATTAGATAATATATTATATATATTATTTATATATATGTATGTTAAAAAACATTTTTCGAGCGTTCCAATGGCAGCTATTGATAGAGAGTTAGAGTTTGAAATAATGTTTATATGAAAATATCGATAAATAATGATTCAAATAATGTGAACATTTTAAGGATAATTATGATCGATTTCCAAAGAGATATTATTCAGTCCCAAACTGCAAAAGTATATTAACTACTTTCCTATCTTGTTTTTATAAATTTTTTGATTGTACCGACTATCATAAAATTATATCCAAAATTTTTTATAATAAAAAACGGCTATATCTCGACGTAGATGAAAATACAGCAAAGCTATAATCACTCCGATCGAGATAAAACGAAAACAGAATCCAATTATATATATACAATGTTTCAACAAAGGTTTCAAAACTTCAAACTGATGTTTCCCAACTTTGCTAGCAACACTTAAATGTCGCCAGCAGCTTGGAACTTTCCTCCTGGCAGCTTGGAACTGTGTTGCTAGCAGCTTGGAACTCTGTTGCTAAGAACTTTTGTTCGAAGCAGGCCAGCAACATTGCTTACTTTTGTGTTGCCGGGGAAACCCCTGTTCGCATGAATTCACCATACCCCCTCCCTGCAACGTGTTGATGCAACATGTTCGGTATACAATTTCACTCAAACATGAAGGGTAAAAGTTGCTCCCAAGCATCTAGCAGCATGTTGCAGTGTTGAGGACTCAAACTTTATCCGGGATTGTATAATATGGAACCATTGGCCCTCCTTTGCTCATCGGAGTCTGTTTTATTTTACATTAAAGCGGGAAGATGTAACTCTTTATGTAACTCTAAAACTTTAATTTTAAACTTAATTGTCAGGGAATTTTTTTTTGTTTATGTTTTTAATTGGAAAATTTACTAAACATATATACATACATAGTTTCTTTTTTGATTTAATATTTTTTGTATGAAAAATAATAATTAGAAAGGGCATCTTTTGAGGCTTTTTTTAACTCTTCAAAATATTTTTATAAAAATAAAACTTATCTTTAATATTTTTACTTTTCTATTTTAAATTGCCTTAAAAATTACACTTTCTCCATCTCCTGGGAGTTTTATTTGAATGGGTTAGAAAAAGGCCGCGACTTTGACTGACTGATGACTCGTCAAAAATGAGGCAAAAATGTTAATTAGCCGCATTTGTTTGTTTTGGGTATCCATCCTTCACAGCCGTTAATTAGTTATTCATATTGTTCCACTCTGGCCGAGCAAATTAACTGTCCAACAATATTTTTTCTTGACTTGAATGCGGTTGAGGGATAAAAAAATACGAATGTTTAAAATAATGTTGATTTAAATGTACTTGGAATAATTAAATCATCTCATAAGAACTTTCATTTTATAATATATAGTAAAGTATACAAAACGCAGTTGAAAAAAAATGAATTTTCCTAGTTTAAAAATCTAAAAATCGTTTTAAAAAATTCAATACTGATATGAGTTTAGTTTATGCAATCTTTACATGGCCTTCAATGTTGGAAATTATAATTTTTAGCCTCCTCTCTCGTATCAAGGCACTTTTCATCTCTCCTTCAGCTTGGTTGTCCTGGCGCCATTTATCTGGCGGGTCTGTATGGAAATAAGAAAATGGCAGACTACCATGGAGCACAATTTGGTTATGCGGCGTTCAAGAAAAGTGAAATTAGCATAAAGTTCCTTCTTTCCCCATACACTTTTAGTATCTGCTTCTGAGTCTGCTGGGTTAACTTTTTCCAATGTGACTCGCTGTCCTTTTGAATTTCGTTTTTAATTTCTTTGGTGTCGCATTCATTTTTTCTTTGCCGGTGAAGCGGTTTCTGGTACAATTAAGTGATGGCAACGAGTGCTTAACGAATTAACAAAGTCCTTTCTTAATAATATTTAAGGGAAGGAAGTCTACATTTATATTATTAAATTCCATTGCAGCTATGAAGGTTTTATACAATCCTATAAAGCGAATTATTTGATCAAGTAAAAGATAGAGATAAAAGAGTCAGATGGAACCTGCTAGGAAATGATCTTTTTGTTCATCGAAAAACACACAAGATATGTTTTTGCAATCTCAAGAGAACAAAATTTCTGTGGCATTTTATAAAGGTTTACTGATCTCTTAAAATTTATAAAGTATACACAAGCAACTATTAATACTAGCATATAAATTTATAGCAAAACCAAGTAGCTAAAATTTTATTGCATACAAAGTATTACAATTGGATCCTGTTCTTATATAAAATATATATTTAGGAATAATTATAAAAACTTATACTCCAAAAACTATAATTTATTAAACTATCTAAACTAAACTATATTAATACCAAATATTCTTAATTTATTTAGTAATTATAATTCCTATTTGAATTCATTCAACCCGGGAAAGCTTGGAGCTGACAATACCGATGGCTGCATTCCCATATTTTATAAAGTGGACATGGAAAAGTGGAAATTCAATGGCCCTCACACCAATGCCCGAGACTCTAGGACAGACATGCAGACGCACAATCAAAATTATTGCATGTAATTTATTAATGCCGTGTGTGGCACAATTTGTTTCATGAAGCATGTAAAATGGATTTAACGCCCTCGATAAGGCTTTTGACCATGGACGGAAAGATAAAAGTGGAGTTTGGGGGCACAATGGGAGGGAAATGCCAGGCGACAGTTGACCGAACATGAACGTGCATTGGCTTTGGCCATTTTCCAGCGATTAATACACGACACATATGCATCCTGGTTGACTCAACTATCTGGCAGCATATTGAGCGACTAATTAAAACAGTAAATGTCCCTGCTCGGTATTTTAATCTTTAGTTTCAGCCTGACCTTTGCCACACTTAGAAAGGAGCCAGGATAAGCAAGCCAGCATTTGTGACGACATATTGAAAAGCCAATTGATATAAGCAGTAAATGTTGGCCAATGTAACATGAAAAGGAAATCTTGACATATTTTGAAATTAGTGTGAGATGTTAATTAAATTGGAATGCCTAATTAGCTTAAAATCAATTAATTATGTAATTAAATATCCAGCTTACTTAATGCTGATTGCAAGAGTTTGATTTGAAATTAAAAGGTTCTTGGAACTGATTCTAGGATACTTTTACCCAAAAAGTATATATTTAATCTATGTATATATATTCCCTATAAATCATACATGTTTAAATTCAAGAAGCATCTTTGGCAAAGCATCAATCAATCCCTAATTGATCCCCATGTACTTTGGGCATGCCACTCACGTTCGATGTCAATTAAAGCCTGGATGAATCTATAAATTTTTAATTGCAACACAAACACATTGAACTGTTTGGACTGCAGAAGTCAAATGGATTAATTATTAATTGTTCATTCCATTTCCCTCACTGTATCTAGTGAAAAACTCTTAAATTCTACATCCGACCTCAAGCTAATATTGGTTCATTTCAAGCATTCACTGGGGCAAGGAGGTAGCCAGGGCTCAGGGCAATCGCCAAGTTAAATTCTAAACAAATTTAATTGAAAAACTTTTCCATTTCTTCTTTGGCAAATGGTCAGATTCGACCAGGCCTTGAGAGTCCTGGGGCTCTTGGAGTGCCACGAAAGGATACAAGTGCATATGCAATTGTTTGGCTACTTGCAGTTGCAGTTTCAGTTATACTATTATTATTATTATTACTATTTCTCTTTTTCATTTTGCGTTGATTGTCGCGATTCACCGGGGACCCGTTTAGCATTTAGTTTTTGCTTTCTGCACTCCGCTGCAGCTCCTCAACCCTTGTCGCTGTTTTTTCTTTTCTTATTTAATTATTTGCTAGATGTTTTGGCCAAAAGTCACCAAAGAGCTGCAAAAAGTTTTCAGTTGTTGCCGAAATTGAAATTATAACTTTTGACTACTTTCTGTTGCTCTGTGGCTCCCAGCGAACGAAAGCTAGCGAAGTTTCAACTTGGTTTTTCTGGGCGGTAGAATAGCTTCGGGGATTGCATCATTGAACTCTGAGAAATTTTTGTGTTCTAGTTAAAGTGTATATTCTTTGAGAAATTGCTAAATAAAGAGTATAAAGTTTTCAAATATATTGGAGAATAATATTTGAAGTACTCAATCTCTAGGCTTTCGATTGGGCAAAGCAATGGCTGAGAAATATAGAGAAATACAGGCTGAAAATAGGATATATATAAACCATTTATAATTTTACTGATACTGCAATAGAAACCTTAAAAGTTTCTTGGTATTTCATATTAAAACATGTAATTTAGCCCATAGCTTTCTTGTCTCTCTGTACTTATTTCTTATATATTGTATTTCTGTCTTAGTCTAGATTTTGTTTACTTATTTAATTTCAATTTAATTTATCTCTTTTGGTATTCTTAGACAAGCTATTTTCCATATTGGACACTGAAATATTTCTGTTATTAAAAAGAGAAAGACCGTTGCTATTCAACAATAAAATTCCTTCAAG